CATTGTGCAAGGTCTTGGGGAAATAATTAATACAAAAAGACAAGTCATTTTCAATAAAAATGTGGTGCTGACAAAAAGTTGTAATGACCTTTTTTTTTGACGAAAATTGTAATCATTTTGAAAGCAGCCTTAGCGCTGGTAACCATTTAGAAATTGACCCTCAAATGAACCAATACCGGTAGCTACTGTGGTAGTTAGTACGAAATAGTCCCCAGTCTTGTGTCATGTTAGCATGAGGTTCATAGTAGAACAAAATAGTATTTTTGTTTTTCTCAAAAACAAAATACAAGACAATACAACAAACAAAAGTACTTTGCTGTTCCACTCAGAAGCGCCCATCTCCAACTGTTTGTTGTCATTTATGCAGGTTTACTATGAGGCAGATTTGATCCTCATGTGTCAGATGTCTTTGCAAAAACATTCAGCCAACATCATTTACGAGTCTAATAACTCATGAAAATAGTAATATTGCAGATCAGGTGACACTGTTGAACTTTCCTTCTGCATGTTTTGACATACATTTCTGCCTTTGCAGATCAAATCTTATCAGAAATGCACACGCAGACCTCTGGAAAGCATGTCATTTTCATCTATGTTGGATTGTGCCTCTTTTTCTTTGATATACTTTTTTTCCCATCGTATACACAGTTGAATAACATGAACATTTATTTTTTATTTTCTTGCGACAGTCAGACTATTTTACCGGGTGATTCTTACCAGGAATGGCATCTGTAACTGCTTGTACGATATGTCAGGTCGGTTCCTTTGATGAAAAACCTGCAGCTGGAAAAGGAATGTAAAAGGAATTTAAAATCCTTCCCTAATTTGACCTCTGCTGTACAGTTAACCAGATGTGGAAAGAAGTGGTCGCCTTTAAAGCACTGACATTCCCTCTAAAAAGTCTTAAATACACTTGTAAGAGTGGAATCAAAGCCTGTGGATTACAGCTCTGTCAGCAGCAGATTTTACTGCCATCAGCTAAAGCAGTTTAAACAAGTTGTCTCCAGACGCATATTGTCATCATGAAGTGACAGAACCACATCTGTCCCGCAAGACCAGCATGACACTGATGATCATATCTGGGCAATTGGATCAAATCATGATGTACAGCGAAATCAAACAAACCCTGATGGTCATATCTCTGGTTATCAAGTGATGACATTATGAGAAGATTTATACCGTCTCCAGTGGAGTCTACGCAGCTGTTATGTTAGGACACGCACACAGTCATACAAAATCGTGATCAAGCTACAAACCTTGCGTTGTTGATATTTAAAAGGCATGAACAGGAATGTAAACATGTACACCCATTAAAACACAGGTTGCAGGCAGTGCTACTGTTTCAGCTGACTGTTAAGATCATGACCTCTATAGATATTAACATTGTATTTACAAAGTGCACTGCAGAGATCGTCAGACTTCTGTTTTTCTTGCCCCGTCGGACTTTGTTTTAGCAATGTAGCCACGTTCCAGATGGTGGCCATAAATAAACAAAGCAGGTAGGAGAAAAAGAGAGTAAAATGAGTGGAGGAGTGACAGTGCATAGGGAAAGAGAGCTACAGTTACTCTGTAAGAGATGAAATGTAGAAAGAAAAGAGAGAAGAAGTGAGTGTTGTTGGGAGCCATAGTCTGAATCTGCTAATATTCCTCTCCTCTCAAACACACTGCTAGACAAGGTGGAGAGGACACAAAGAGGGAGAGTCAATCATGTCAGATGTGTGTGTGTTTGTGACGGAGATCAGATAGCTGTCTGTGTGTTTTTGCCTCGAGAAGACCTAATAATGTGTCTGTCAGAGCAACACGAAACAGTATTGACTCATCTTCACACACTCACACACACACAGATCGCACAATACACGATGCTAGGCACATACTGCTGGCAGCTGTAATCCGGAGAGCATACACACATTTACACACACGTGGAGAAAAAAAGGGGTATTTCATTGTAGACCACCCACTGATCACCCTTTTCATCCATGTATTAATCCATTAATCCCCCCATTCAATATATTCAATCCATCCACTGATATGTCTGTCAATACATCCTTCCACACCTTTATTTAACCAGATAACCTCGTCTTTTTGAAGCTCACGTATTTATTCCAAACTGCATTTTGATACTGGATGAAAGGCTACTATTTCTCCTTGAAGTGTGTGTGTGTGTGTGTCTGTGTGTATTTAAGAAGCACAATTATATCCCCCCAAATGTATCTAATGAAACGCTCAAGTGGTTTAACAATTTCTGTGCGTGCGTGCGTGCGCGTGTGTGTGTGTGTGTGTGAGTGAGTGAGTGCGTGTGTGCCTGTGTGTGTTTGCACTCTAATAACAGAGGATAATCTGATGTGTCCTCTAAAAGTCACAATTTGTTGGTCTGTGATACGTCTTCATTTTGCCAGCTCATCACCTTGGTTTGACAATACATGACAATACATCCTGCTGGCAACATAGTTAAGACGCATGGACGGAGAGATTCTTGTCTGTTTTTCTTATTTATTTGTTTGTATTTTTCTTTTTTTTCCTCCACTTTTTTTTTTTAAATCATAGCATTGTTTAACTTTATTTTCTTTCTTTCTGTGTGTTGCTTTCTCTCTGTTTCTCTTAGTTGTTTTTTCTCTCTTTGTCTTACAGGTTTTGTTTTCGGTAAGGTTTCCTCAGAGCAGTGCATCTTAATTTCACAGTACTGTAACCACCATCAAGCTTGTTTGTTTATACTGTCATCGGTGTTGCTGCTGGGTGGACCTTATCTGATACGTGGTTAAATGAAGTACAGGTCTTAAGGGAATAGTTCGTCAAACAAGACTTACTGTAGGTGTCGTTTGATGACACTCTTGTATGTACAGCAAATGTGAAACTATAAGAGCCAGCAAATAACTGGCTCAGCAATATCCTAACAGGCTACACATGGCAATAAGTTCATATGTAGTCGGCTACAGCCTCCTGCAGAGACCTTAGCTGACATGATTACACCCCTCTGATAAGTACTTGGGAGCATCCTCTTCGAACTTGTTTGATTTTCCGTCTTCCCTTGTTGTCAATCTAAGCCGAGAGTAATTATGTGCTGGACCTGAGCTGAAGAGAACATAAGCAAAGTCTCTCTGGGTTCCTTCATGGTTGTGAAAGATCAGCGAGACCGAGCAAAGAAATGGTCAAATATCAAGAAAGAATTTAATTTTGCTGAAGGCCGCTGTAATGATTGATTATTTTACTGCAATCGTATCTGATATAGGAGCAACCAGACCATAACAATTACTGACACGCTGTAGCTGAAATGATTAGGAATACAATTTTATGATTACATTATCACATCGCTGCCCGTTAAACATATCCAACCTCCATTGTGGACGCCTATCAATTGATCATAATCAATTTTGATTAATACTAATGAGGGTCTCGAAGTACCCGGAGGCCAGATCTGGCCAATAAAATGTGTTTTTTTTCTATCTAGGCTTCAAAATTGGAGCACAAATAAAACCTTTTTTTTTTTTTTTAACAGCTGCTTAACCGTTCACCCCGTTGCTCAAGTTCTGCTTATTGCTAAGTGCTGCAAAACTCGACATCTATCTGTTGACGTTGCGGTTGAGAGTATGTACCAGCCCAGTACCGGATTTATGTTTATTATACATTCAACTTGCATGTGTTGTGTCTTTCCTGATGAGAAAAAGCACTGTCCTCATGAATAAAACATTCCACCACTTAAACTAGTCACAAATTACACAGTAACTGAAATATGGATTTATTATTGCTGAGGCTAATATTGACATACCCCATTCACGGTTCACGCTTTCAACAATAGTTCAAGCTCATTTGGGTTGTAAATGAGATGTGAATTTTATGTATTTATGAAGCTAGAATCCGTGTATTTACCCAGAATAAAACGGCAAAATAAACAGTAGCCTATTGACAGTGCAGGAATGGTTTAGTGTAGTTTCAGCTTTTCCTTCAGCCTCTGCCTCTTTCTCTTTTATACTGTATAAACCTCCCCGTCTCTCCATTTGCCTCAAAAACACACACAGCCCCTTACATGCACTCATGCACATTTCATATTCTTGCTTTCTTCTTGGAAACTGGGTTAAATTCTACAAAATGTAATATATTTCTAGCGGCCACTTCCATTTGGGGGTTGATTCAAACAACCCATTTCCTCCGCAGTGAGGAATATGCACAGCAAAGTGCTGACATGTATCAAAAGCACATCAGAAGAATTATGTTTAATGACAGTTTTTTTTTTTTTGTTGTGGTCTTTCCGTTTCACTCTTTGATCTTCCAGACGTGGATATGGACAACATGAGGTAGGTGTCTTTCTCTGTACACATGCTGTAGAGTTGCATGTGTTGTTGTCGTTTTCTTCTTTCACCCTTGATGTTCAGTCGTACCCTTCATTGTGTTCTGCTCTCTCTATTCTTTTCCATTTGATGTAATCACGATGGAGCAGCATGTAGTCAGTGCTTTGTATTTACATTTGTTTTATATCTGTCTGCAATCCATTGATGGTGAATATTAAAATGTGAAACCACAAAGGAACAAATAAGAAAGTCAACCAATCCTTTTGAATTTTGGCCTTTGAAGCAGCAGAATACTCTTAATCATTTTCAGAACTTTACCAGAAATGTATTGTTTAATATGTACCACAGCATTGGTGATTCTTTTGTATAAAAAGGAGTCCATTTTCACTTAACTGACTTCTCAGTTGGTAAAATTCCAACCCCTCAAATAACTGTATTTCATTACCAGCAATCCCTCAGCAGACACATTTTGAAGTGAGTAAATATTTAATTTAAGCTGAAATTAAGTTCCAAAGTGATATTCACTATTGCAAGAGTAATACTTGCTCACACGAAATTGATTGACGACATCAAATGAAAACAAATGCTCAGACAGGATTCTCTACATTCTACGATTTTGAATGAAGAGCATTGGGCATTGATTTTACTTTCCAAAATAGGTGTAGGGAAGAGTTCCTAACTTCTGTCTTGACATTCGTCACTTTTCTTTCTCTCTAGCAGACACAACAGCTCCTCCGACCTTCTCTGCTCAGACCAGAGGTACTCTGTCACTTTTCTCTGAATACTTCTTTACTCCCTGTGTGTGTGTTTCTGCTCGTGTGTGTGTGTCTGTGTTAGTGCAGTCAGTGTAAACAGAGGTGAAAAAAACACAATTTCTCATGAGGGATGTGTTTTGTGAGTGTTTGTGTGGGTTTACGAGTAGGTATGTATCTCTGTCGTGTGCATGTGTGGGAAGCTACTAATAACGGTTTGTCAATCTAACAGGAGTTATCAATGGAATCTGGCATCGACCCCGGCCAGGACTACTACACACAAGATTATTACAACTATGATCACGGGTTTGTATGCACATCCTACACATATCTCTGTTTGTACATAAACTGTATGTGCGTGTTTGCTTGGCTGTAATATTAACATATGGAAGTTTGGATGGTTTATCTGTCATTCTATTGTACTGTAGTTGACGAAAACAATCGTACCACAAGGCCCACTTAGTAGCTGTTCTGGAGCTTTCATTTGTATTTCCTCTGCTTTTATCTGAGCGGATGAAGTTGCCTCGTTGTCGTGAAAATTAAGATGTTCAAATTTCCATTTTTTTATGTAGTGTAATGAATAATAAGAGCACAGTTTATTAAATATGGGATTTTTCGTATATACATTTGCCATAATATATCGTTTCCAGAATATATCCTTATTGATATCTGATACTGTGCTCCCAATACAATTATTATCAAAAATACCTCAATAGTTCTTATCAACAGTAATAGTAGATGTAAAATGATGTTCGCCCTCTTTTTACAGCATTCTATGTTTTTCCCCGTGCCGTGTGGGGAATGCATTATTTACCAGTAACACACACCAGAAACGATATTGAGCGGACACATGCCAATGTGCCCCTCCCCCCCCCTTCCAGATTATACATATTTCCTTCAACCCGAGTCTGGAGGTCACTGTGGTGTGTGCTTTATCCAGAAGAGCGCCATGGTGGCTGCTTTGATATCGCGCTGACCCCGTCAGTCACACAGGAGATTACTGTGAAATCTTGACCCCGGTGACATGCCTCGTACCAACCTGTGGTTAATATGTTCTTGAACTACAGGAAGTGAAAAAAGCTGAAAGAAGATCTGACAGTGATTTTGTTCAAAGTGTGTGTGCGTGTACTTGACGTGTGTGTGTGTGTGTGTGTGTGTGTGTGTGTGTGTGTGTGTGTGTGTATGTGTGTGTGTGTTGTTTCTTGGATGTCTGATGTTGAAAAAGCAGGAAATATTGTATAGAAATAGCAATAACACACACAGATACATTAGATCAAAGCATTCATGAACAAGATCTCTGAGGGCTTATTGCATCCTTCCCAAGTGTGTGTGTGCGTGCGTGCGTGCGTGCGTGCGTGCGTGTGTGTTATGTTGAAACCCAGACTTCCATCTGTGATGCATTGTGTAATTCTTATAATTTTAGCTGCAGTCTCCCGGGAACTTGATTTTATACACCCACCCACACACACACATAAATACACAGTGGCACACACACATAAATTCTCTCATGGCAGACACATTCATTCACTCACTCTCTCATACTCACTCAGAAATGCTCTGTTGCCCATTCTTTTTTACACACACACACACGCACACGCAGAGCTAATTCTCTCTGCCTAGCATTGCAATATTGTAGTAGCTAATCAGGCAGCCAGCCGTGGAAGCAGACAATGGGCCAGATGCTGTTGGCTTAGAGCAACATCCACAAACTCATGTCTGACTCTCTACGTATACAGGAGCAGGAAATCAGAATTTGTGATCCAGTGGGACTCAGATCTAATCACTGTATTTGTCGCAGTTGTAAATAAATGGTGCAGGACTTTTTTCCAAAGACTATGCTAACAAATGCTAAACCCGCCTCTCAGGACACGGACAAAGTTTTTATGAGTTTTTGTTTTTTGAGAAGACAACAGCTGTTCCAGTGTTTACTTCCACGGCTTTACTAATCCATTTTGAAGGATGTTTCATAACCTTTTGACCTTTTCTTTCATCCGTCTTCAAAAGATGAGATCGAAATGGGATTTTCTCTGCATGTGGGAATGTAGCCATCTGCCATTGGCATGCTTCTGACAGGATTTATACAGATGCTGAAAATAACTTGAACCATTTGTTGCACAGGTCTGAAAAAAAAAATGTTGCCCTCTAGTCAAGAGTAAAATACTCAACCATCCACGCCACGGAGCAATCAGGGATTAAAGCATGCTTTTCTAAAACCGTCATTGGCGTGGGTGATGAGCGGCGTGTCTAGAAGCTGATAGGTGCTGAGTTAGGGCACCCACGTGAAAAAATATAGGATGAGGAAAGTGAAATCTGGCATTATCGGCTCAATGAAGAGACAGTTTTCATTTTAGAAACAGAAGCAGGACAACGGTGACAACAAAACAACTAGAAGGCTGCATGTCCAGCTTGTTTTAGGCAGGGTGCAAGGTGTAGGAAGACATCAAATACAAATGGGGAAAATATTAAAGAGATGGTTCAACATTTTGGGTAATGCACTTATTTGCTTTCTTGCAGAGTTAGATGAGAAGATCAATACCAGTTCCAGCTTCATATTTAACGGACAGCAGTCAAGAGCTAGTCACGACTCGTAGTTCCTTGTAGCTCCAAAAACAGTTGGTCTTCCCATAATGCAACTCAATAGTGCTTTTCTGTAGAGCCCCCCTTTCTGCTTAATCTTATTTCCTTACTGCTTGTGTGTAACACATGCTTTCTGTTAAAAGCGTGTGATGTTGAAGCCCAAGTGAAATCACTTGATACATTTTTTTCAAAGCTCACTGTCGAGCCACAGAAAACACTGTACAACTGTTTTACAGACTGTTTACCACGTTTTGTAAATGGTCTTTCAATGGTGACTTTTAAAGAGTATTAAAGCATACAATACTACTCTTTGTCATGTGAAGGCCCTGTGTGTGAATGTGATCACATGTCCTGGGACTGATCATTAAACAATGATCTAGCATTTGGAGAACGGGTCACATTTTGGTCCGTACAAACACACAGCTACTGAAACACACACACATCAAGTGTTGGCTGCGATGCGAGTGATCCTCAGTTCATGAGTGTCCCCTAGTGGAGACATGGAGAGAGGGGGAGGAGTGAGAAAGAAAGAGGGGCTGAAGGAGAAGTAAAGAAGGGGAAAAAAGACCACTGTAAGCAAAGAGTTACTGTAGCCTTTAATTTCATTGTGTGTGTGCACTTCACTTTGAGTCTGCAGGGTTCATGACTGTGAAATCTCATAAGCAGGTTTTAATGGAAGGTTGAGGGTCATTACATTAGCTTGCAGAGGACTGTAAGGATATATCTGCAACATTTATGACTAGCCTGGTCTTAATGTTTTGACTCTTTCATTGTTCACTTGTTCTTCTTTCATTATCTTTTCTTTTTTTTTCTCCCCCTCTGTTTTTTCCCTTATCTCACCTCCACCTCCCGTTTTCTTCACGCACACATCAGTCATCCGCTTCCATTTGTTTATTACTTGGCTGCTTAATGTAATAGGAGGGCAAATTCTCCCACCGGTTGACTGTGAGCAAAGTGATTACACGAGGCAACTTTTCTGCACATCTCTGGTTACGGAACCAAGCCAAAGGACTTCCTGCTGATTTGTCACTTTAATCACACTGGGGACGTATTGTTTCAAGGATAGCATTTGAAAATATGTGTTTTTTTGATCCAATAGCTCTCCGAGTTGCTTGCTGCAGGGCATGGAGCCCGAGTGGTGGTGCACAACACAGTTTTTTGGCCGGTGGAGTCAGACAGCTCTCCCGGGCAACAGGCAAAAAGAGACAAAAGGGAGGAAACATTGATTCCAGTGTTTTCTGTTAACAAAATGTCTCCTGGCAACAAAATGCTCCTTTTGTGATTAAGTCAGCTTTGCTTAGGCAAGTCATTAGACACTTCTTATCATTGGAGTAAAGCCACAGTGTTGCCCTGCGTGTTGTTGCTTTAAGTGGCTGTGAATAAGCACTAGCCAAGTGAAACAGTTGAGTTTGTGAAGCATATTTCTCTCCTGTCTTAACTTAAATATTGTACAACATCCCAACTTCCTTCTATGTTTGTATTATTATTACACATAGCAGAAATGTCAGACAAATAATCCCTAAAAATATAAAGCGGTTAAACGGAGAATTTCTGCTCTGTGCAGCTTCTTAATGGTTATTGCTTATCTGTAAAGCTCTGGGTCTTTTCCCCTCCTTCTCTTTCCAGGTATGACCTTCCTCAGTACGGCAGTCGCAGGAAACTGATCTCGCCCTCCGGCCTCTACGATGAATATGGAGAAGTCGTCGTTGATGACGACGGCAGCTACTACTACAGCCCACAAGATTCTGAGGGAGAGGTAAGCACCTAAAACTACTGCAGAAACAGAAACCTTCAGATATTCAAAGGTGTGAAGAGAATGAATTGTTGCTCACAGTGACATTTAGTGAATTGTAAGTAGATTTTGCACAGTATTTTTACAAAACGGAAATGTGGTGAAAGTACTGAATTAACGTGTAGTTCATGCAAAAAGTGTGAAAAACGAAACTAACAAGGTCTTAACTAGTCTTTAAAAAACAGTTACACTGATGGACCGACTACTTTGAAGGTTGGGACACACCATCACTATAATGGTTCAACATTTTTGGGAAATATATTGACTCACTTTCTTGCTGAGTAGTTCAGAAGATACTTGGTTCAGTTTTATTGTCTTATGTTGTTCCTCTCCTAATTGTTCTTATTCGGTTTTGGATCAATATCATCATGACAGCAGGTGAGGAGACAGTTGCAAGGAGGTAGATTAGCCCCACACCCTGCCTACCTCCAGCCCCGTCCTCCACCTTCTCATGGGCCATCGATAAAGACCCCAGCAGCCACAAGAACTGAGGGCGACAAACACCAACCGTCACAGGGAGGTGCAACCGTGAGCACAAAGCCTAAGAGCTCAAGTGCGGCCGCCAGGTTGAAGGCCATGATGCGATTGAGCACACTGCTGTCCTCCGGTAGTAAAACATCTGGACAGCCTCCTGCCATCCACCCGCCCTGGAACAAAGCCAGAGTCAGGCCGGTGACAGAGGGGGAAGGAGGTAGAGAAAGACGGGAGGAAAGAGAGGGGGGAAGAGCGGGAAGAGGATTTGAGAGAGGGGAAGCTGGGAAAGGAGAGAACAGAGGGAGAGGAAGAGATGAAGCAACAGAAAGGAGGGACAGAGGAGGAATGGAAACATGGGGAAGAAGCAACGGTGGCGTGACAAACAATGGGATGAGAAATGCTGTTGGAAGAGGAGAAGGCATCAGGCCAGAGCATAGGGGAGAGCTCCCTGGCCACTTTGCCAGCCTGGACGGCGGCTTGGTCATCGACAGGAGTTATTTCCAGACATCTGCTGAAGCCAGCAAACCCCCGGCAGTGAAACAAAAGCTGAGCGAGGCCCTCAGTCTTATCTCTCTCACCAGAAGGCTGCAGGGACCTGCCAGGGTGGGAGATGAACAGTGGAGCAATGGCAAAAGCTGGTACAGAGGAGAAGAGAACAGTAGGAAGATGTATGGCTCCTTAGGAGATATGAGTGTTTCTGCATCAGTGTCTGAGAGAGTCATGGGGGAAGAGAGGAGGAGGTGGGAGAGGGAGTTAGAAGATGAGAATAGCTCCTCTGAGGTATGGTGGAAGAGAGAAAAACAATTTCATGACAGTGATTCCGAAACAGGGAGTGGCAGCAAAGAGTCTCCATCCGAATGTAGCCCCACCTCATCTTTTACAGCCGAGCACGACAAGACAGAATCTGATACAGAAACGGAAAAGGACGAGGGAATTCCTGACACAGACAGAGAATCGGAGAGTGGGAGCCAGGTTGAGGACAGAGAGGGGTCAGAGTCTGAGATGGAGTCAGGGTTGGAGAGGGAGGACGAAAGCAAAGAGTGGAGCAGAAAACGCTCAAAAGGTGATGTTAGTAACAGTTCTGCGAGTAGCAACAGTATTAGTAGTAAGAGAAGAAGTAGTGCCAACTCAAAAAGAGAAAGCACAAGCAGACAACGAGAAAGAAGCAGTCACTCCACAAGCAGCAAAGAGAGAGATAGAAACAGCAGCAGCGACTCTAAAAGCTTAAGATATTCAGGTTCTACAGTTAGTAGTTCTAGGCCGCAGACTTCTAGACACTCCCGTTCTACACATGTAACAATAGAGGAAGAGAGCGAGGAAGAGGAGGCATCAGGAGAGGAGGAGGTGGAGGAGGGGACGAAAAGTGTTGGATCACGAAAGTCTTCCTCGAGCAGGCGAGCCACCAACCTCATCCAATCAGACATCAGCTCGAGCGTGATGGACACATCGGACGACTTGTCGCCTATTATCGAAGACACAGAGGAGGAGGAGAAAAGCAGCGGTCATGGCAGGGAAGGGTACGAGGATGAAGAAAAGGGGGATTTGGAAAATGAATCTGCAGATTGAGATGCAGATGAAGCCTTAGCCCCTCCAAGATTAAATTCTTTGCCACTAAGTAAGATCTCTGTGAAAATGCCTGGATTGGGTGTGCAGTCATTACCTGGGTGGACTTTATTACTATAATCTCTCTCTTTTTCCTTGTTTGGGGTGATTTACATTCACAGGAGTTTCAATTGCCTGCATTACCTCTGCTGCCCTCTCAGGGTATCTCTTGATGTGGGTCTTTGCCTTTTTATCTTTGCTTGTATCTTGAATCCCCTTTTTCCAATCAGTCTATCCTCCTCTCCCTCTGCTTTGTCCGTCTCACCTTCCATCATAACAGCTCTCGCACTCTCATAGAAGCGGTCGAGTGGTTTACTTCCGTAGTTTTCAACCTGAGCTGACTCATTTTCCTTTTGTGAAAGCTCCACTTCCAGCTGATCGTTTCTCTGCTGAAGATTGTTATTCGCATACCCCTCTTTGTTGCATTTAAGGTGCGCTCAAGTCTTCTGGTGCCTACTATCTGCAGAAGAGAAATATGTTTTTTCTGTAAGAGTGAACGTAATGTTTTTTTCTATGCTATCAGAGTTAAATGGAAAAACGTAGGGTCATATTATGTAGTTATTTCAACAACAGCCTTTTTTTTCCCAGTGTGAGTGTGCACAGCAGTGTTCTCTCCTCACATAACATAGAGATTAGAGGTGTTATAGTTACATTCAGATATTAGTATACATTTTAATTTGAAAAGCATTTCCTTAATGCTGCCTTTTTTCAAAAATGATCAACACCTCATGATCCAAAGGCTGTACTTTGAATCATCCTACTAAAGCAAACATCTGGAGTTAACGCTGCTGCACTGACCTGTCTTTGCTGTGTAGTGTGTTTGCAGTGATTTTTCTTTTGCATATTTCTTGATTTTACAGTACAAACATCGTAAAGGTAAAAAATGGAAACAGTCTCAAATTACATTTGAGCTTCCAGAACCCCCTAACATGAGTTTCTGCTGACCTCTAGTGGTCCAAGTGCTCGCCTTGCTGCAGGAGAAAGGTCCTAAGGTTGTAGTCAGTGCCTTGATGTCAGTGTCCGGTGTGGTTCACATGTTTTCAACTCTTTCTTAAACAATACTCATTTGCCCAAATGTCCATTGACTGAGTCAACGCTTACTGTAATCCTCTTGTCCCTATTATTCTGTCAGAATCTATGTCAGTTTATTGACATATTATTTGTGTGATTTCCAGCAAGGCAATAGAAACCGTCGGATCAAGTTGGTGATGGACCGGGAACATGAGACCAGCTCCACCGGTGAGGACAGCATGCCAGAGACCCAACGCAGCCGCTTGCCCTCCAACCTCAACAGTCACGCAAATGTTAATGGCAGCATCTACGTGGCCCAGAATGGCTCCATCATCCGCACCAGACGCACAGTAAATGCCACAGGTCCCACACACACACACACCACCACCACCACGAACAACAACCTCAAACTCACCTCACCCGTCTTCAGCTCACGGCTGGCCAAGCACTTTAAAAAACTGGACAAAATGGCTGCCACGCTGGAGGAAAGAGTTCCCCTGAACAACCCCAGGACAGCAGCAGACGGTGGGTGTAACACGCTGCGCACCTTCCAAAGCTCGGCGACGGCCACTTCCTCTTTCTCCAACACTGACAACCATAAAACGCTGAATGTGTTTAACACTGGACAAACCAGAGTATCTTTGGGGCCGACCAGCAACACGGGCCCCGACAGTGTGGCGTCTAAATCAAACCTGCTCAAAGCGGTGCAGGGCGGCGCAGAGCCGCCGCAGAGCACAGTGGAGAGAGACGAGCCGAAAGAAGGCGAAAATGAGTCGAAGGTAGACGCCAACAATGATGAAGACGATGGCGGACTCGTTATGGGGGAGCCGCTGGAGTGCCCGAGTGACAGAACGCAGTCGGATGAGGAAGAATTATGGATGGGCCCATGGAACAGCCTTCACATACCCATGACTAAACTCTGACTGATCGTGACTCCACTGTGCTCGCTCCTTATTGCCAAGATCATTAAAGCGTCCAGACATCATTTCTGTTCATTAGTTGTGGAACTAATGGGGGGGGGTGCTCCAATCCAATTAAAAGACATCTAATTAACAGATTGGTACTCGGCTAAAAGGTGAATTAGCATATTCTGGTGTTTCAATAAGACGTAAGATTCAACTGACTATTTACCAATTCACTCACTAAAGGTGGAGTCAGCGATTCTGGAGAAAGATTGTTGATATTTGAACTCATCCCGAAAACAAATATTCCTCTTTAGATTTACTGTCTGGCTCTCACTGCCTTTCTCTTTATTCATCCAGGGCCTTTCCCCGAGGGCCAATGCACCAGCAACAAACACGCCCCCTGTTGCTGAAAGGCTGGATTACTGTTGTGTGGCACTTTGTTTGCTTCCCATTCACAGAGCCTGGGTTGCAAATAAACACCAGATTGGTTTAAGCGCACACAGAATAGACCAGAAGCGGACCGTGAGGAGATATTAGCTTAATTTAAAAAAAAAAAAAAAAGTGTTGAATTTGAATCGCTGACTCCACCTTTGTTTCGTAACTGCTCAATATTCGGATCAGAGCATCCCTTAAGCCTGACTGATCTAACAGCTGCAACTCCTTTGTAAAACTAGACCTAGAAAAAGAGGACTTGTTATATTTCTACTTTGCTAAGAAATAATGAAGGAAACTTGAGGAAAAAGTCTGTGAACTTTTTACGGCCCTTTAAAAGACGAGTGTCTCTGTATGACACTGCACTTGTTTCATTCAGTATTTTCGGCTACTGGTCAAGCCAAGAGTCATCTTGGACTTTCCCCGACACTTTGCATTGACACATGAAGTCTTGTATTGTTCAAACCTGACTTTTTATTCGTGTCAAGTTGCTTGGCAAACGTTATCCAAATAAAAGATGATTTCATCCATTGAAACTTGATGTTTGGCTAACTCGGGGCTTTGGCGATGTCTCCTCTATCTGGAACTGACAAGGCATGACAGTGATGAGATGTGGCTTTCTAAATGTCAGATGGAGTGTGGAGGACCGCTGTCAGTGCTTTTCTGGTTCAATACTTTGTTCCTGAAAACATTTCAGAACTTCACTCTATATTCTTTAAAGTGTTTTTAATGTTGATTTATGTATATTTTTGACACTTTTTATATATGCTCTTCACGCTTTATCACCAAGAGTCAAGTGAAAAGATGAATGCCCTCAGACAAAGTCAGAGGGGTATCAATCTTCTCTTTATCCAACCTTTGGCATATTTGTAACTTGAAAAGTGTCACATTTAAAATGGAATATTTTGAAATACGTTTGTTTTTAAAGTTTGAGGTCCATTCTGAGTGATGTTTACAATTTCTCTTGGTGAGATGTATAGGCCTGATGTGCATATAATATCACAAATGAAAATAAATGCACACATTTGTCATTAATTATAATTGCAGAAGAATTGGAGGGGGCAGATAAAAATCATTAACTCGATTACAGGCTGTGAGATTCTAATGAGGTTATTTAAATCCCCTCATCCCACTGGATCCCTGAGAGATCCACTTAACGGCGTGCATGGATCCAAAGTTCATCATGATGAAGGTGGGAGAATTCTCAACCTATTACAGTGAATTAGTTCATTTGAAGTCTGAAAGAAGCTGGACCATTAAGCTGCAGAATCACCAGGTTTTAAAACTCACATTTAATTAGATGACTGCATAATTTTGCATTAAGGAACTCAATAGAGGGTGCCACCCCGGCAGGGTTATTTGAAACAGAGTGCTTATTACCCGGAATTAGCTGACTGTACCGGAGAGTGATATTTTAAACAGTTTCTGGAAAGAAGGGCACGTCTGAGCCACTGTTATTGATTCAACTAAATGAGCTGATTATGTCACTGACTCCTGAGTCCACTGTGCTCTATTGGAGAAGACTGAATGAACTCTGCTCATTAATCTGTGACACAGGCACGAAAAAATGTTGAAAGGGGCATTTCGCCCGAAAAGCAAAGCTGATTTATTATGTGTTGTTCATCCTAAATGTTTTGCACAATTACACATGGCACATTCACCTAGTGGTAGAAAGTAACTAAGTATGTATAGTCAAGTACTGTACTTAAGTAAAGTACAAGTACCTCAAAATTGTAGGTAAGTATTACCGTTTTCTGCTACTTACTTATTTTAATTTTACTTATGTACTTTTTACTGCACTATATTTATTCTATACCCTTTAGTTTCTAGTTAAGTTTCAGGTTCATATTAATAATGGAAAATATAAGCAAGAAAAAAAGGTCATAGTATAGCATGTCGAAAAATGTCATAGTATAGCATGTCGGAAAAAGTCATAGTATAGCATGCCGTAAAAATCGAAGTGCAAAATCAATCAAGTATCAAGCCAAAGTGGCTGGTTTAGCGTTAGCAATTTATAAAAGAACTACTCCACATCTGAATAAAGCCAAATAAGAATGATAATACTTTAGGTCCTTGTTAGCATTAGTTCATAGGTAATAAGGCACTTATAATGAAATGATTGTGTTTATAAGACTATAAATGTTAACCGCAAAAAAAATTGTATTATGTAATTCTCAATTCACATTTTATCAACTGAGCTCAGATATACACATACTTGAAGCAATGTTAAGTATTTTTTTATTTTATTGTGATCCTGTTATATAACAAATCCACCAATTCTTATCTACTTAAAAATTAAAGTAAATGGAGAAATGTGCACTTGACAGCCACATCGTAACATGGATAGTGGATGTTAAAGGGTACACTGTCATAATATTATGGAAGCAACAGTGTGCCAAAGATGAAACACAGTCAGCAAACACATGTCATATTCAGCGGATAGAACTAATACAGCAAGTAAAAAAAAAAAAAAAAGATCAAAGTTTCAAACTGTCAGCTTTTGCCCACATTTCTGATAAATCACAAAATAAGCCATTACAAAATGTTGCTGTGTACTGCAGAATAACATGCCAGACATACAGTATGAATACTACACCGAGTATTTTACACAAAAAGTAAAATATTTCTTTATGTCTCTCAATAAGTTTGAGTAAAGTTAGGGCAGTGGAGAGTTTATCTCTCACATATTGAAATAAATAAAAATACAAAACACTTAAAACTACTTACAGGAAACTATACATAAACAACAACAAAAGATAACTGCCAACCAGGGCTTCACATTCAAATAAATAACATCCAAACACAATTTGTCTCAGGTTCAACACATTAAGAAATGTTACATTCAGAAATGAGGTCTAAAGGTTAGAAAGAAGGAAAACAAGGAACACAGCTCTGCTTTACTGATTATAGATTTACAATTTAACAGAAAAATGTCCCTTTCCGTTCAAAGTCAGTGTGGATTTCAGTTCCATCACTTGGTAGTTTTAAGGAATCATCAGTTTAGAGTTGTGGTTTCTTGGATATCTTTCTCAGCTACCTTAATTACAACTAGCCTTAAGGATCGTTCTAATGTCTTACTACTGACAGAAGATAAGCTTTGTGTGTAAATGGCATTCAAACAAGTCGAGGTCAGGAGTACAACACACTATTGCACTAAAATACAAACATTACTTGGCACTATGCTAAGTTTTACATAATGACAAATTAAAGTAAAATGACTCCAATTAGTTGTGTGTGTGGCCTGTACAATAAAAGGCACACATTTAAATGACCTGATACTTGTGATCACTGTGTTTCACTGTTCGCAGGTTTTAGAAAGCTTCTTTCAGATTGCAACTTTTGTGTTGGAATGTGGGTTAAAAGTGGGAAACTTTACTTCTTCACAACGGTATAATGTACTCTTAACCCAAATCAACAACTCACAAAACAGATGTTCCCTAGATTTAATTCAGGAAATTAAGTTGTCATCTTGTCTGTATAATGATAGGCAAGTTATTTTGGCTCCGTCAGGTCTTTCCTTGTCTTCACCAGTCAAGACTCGCTGACATAAAACCTTTTAGTGTCGATTTAAAATTCAAATTGGGCTATGCAAGGATCAGTATGACACTAAAGGGAATATCGATGTATTAATAACTGAAATGCCAAATAAAACAAAACTATAATCAAAATTTTAAAAAAATAAAAAATATATATAGATATAGATATAGATATCTATATATATATATAGGGGAAAAGTGGCCCCAGATCAATCAAGTTGTAGTAAGCAATAAAGAAAAGCCTTCAATCATAACTGACAATCAATCAATACGAGTCATCTATAAAGATACTGCAATTAAAATGACAGTAAATATAGGCCAATAAACTAAAGTGAAATGCGATCCATTCTGGTTATGAATATTCTTGTGTGGGGGATTTCAAATGATGCCTCGGACTACGTGCTCATTTACGCTTCAAAGAGTTATAAATACAATCCAAACATGTATCTTGTGCTTTCCTCAAAACATGTGCAACTGGGCCCAAACTAAAAGTTATAAATATGATGATCATCATTAAAAAAAAAAAAAATTATAATAATTCAACCATCTCATAGCAAACAAGTCTCTGACGTTCATCAGACAGTAACAGAAATAGGTTGAAGATGACAGCAAAGGGAAAAACAAAATGATGTTTGAAGAACGCTTGGCTGTGTTTCTCCAAAGGACCTTAGTGCTAAAATCATCATTGTTCCAAGATAAATAAATAAAGGACGAATATTTTTAGCATTAGCTATTGAGGTCAATGTGTTCTACAATCCTCAATTTTACCAAAATGGCTTAGTTGCACCATTAGCGTTGGTACTGTGTATTGAACCTCACTACTTACTAAAACTCTCGAGGACCAAAACCCAGAGCGGAATGTCTGGTGTGATAATCTTAATTGCCTTTTTTATTTTTTTACAGTTTAATATTGATTAAGGTCTTGCACGGCCACTTGTATTTAGACAATATTTAACTTTTGAAAACTTTCACTTCTTTTCTTTAACAAACAAAAGGGTTTAAAAAATGTCAACTATTGAAACACTTGTGGTGACATTTTGAACCCTGTCGCAGTTACAAGTAGCATTCCTCAATGAAATGTACTATCAATATATCTTGTTTTTACTCTTAAAAAATGTATTAATTAATTAATGAATTTGTTTGGCAAATAGTATAAGATGCTTGTTGACACAATTAGTGTCATTAGTGGACGAAGACAGAACTAAAACACTTTGTGAAACCAGTCGCAGATCGTCCTCAGAGATACAGCTACAACATTACCAAATGTTAAAGGCAGTTTTGCAACATAGAGCAACTTTATCAACATAGGGAGAAAACATTGGTTCACATTTGCCCCTTGTTCAAATGAATATGGGACAGCTATGCTGCCTTAAAATGCTGCCCATGTACAATATCTTCATCTTCAGGATCGCGACAATAGTGTCCAAGAAATTCCCAGAATATCTGAATATTTGTCTCACACTTTGGCGCCTTTTCCAATGAGCGATGCTCAAAATGTGCCCTTACAGTACTGTGACACTGGAACAGTAAGAAAAGAACCAAACAAGCCAGCTTGTCAGCCTCCTTCACGATGCCCATACCTGAGAAAGAGAATACTGTTTCACCTCCTCAGCCCGACTCTACTACACCTCTCCTTCCATTTAAGCAGACCTCCCTCTGTCTGCTCCGTGCTGAATTTGTGTGATACCAGAAATACATGATGTGGTCATCCAATAGCAAACTGTAGCCTGTGCTATGACACTTAATTAACTCAGAAGGATTGTGGTTCACTCAACTCATTCAATTAAGAGGCCATTTTGCAGCCTTCCTTCTTATGATTTGGTGTATTTTTTGAGGGTAAAAAAAAAACTGGCACCCATAACTCTTCATCCTTTGAATGTGACTTACGAAAGTGCTCCTTTCTTTGTTGGTAAGATCACACACCTGATGACTTCAATATCGGCAGCTGCCTCTGGTACTCTCCGGACTCTCTGTGGAGCCACACTACAGCCAATAAACCAAGAAGAGCCAGAGCTACTTGCCCCAACAGGACCAGCACAGCTCTAAAGTGACACCGGGAGGGATTTCTGACGGGGTGAAACCAAGCATTTGGGGCTGAACATCTGTCAACTAACCCATTGAATCCCGTCCTCCACAACTAACACAAGGCAGGATCAGACTCCTCACTGAAACACCTCGCGTTTCTTGGAAAGGAGAATCCTCCAAGTTTAGAAGCAGTCAACCCAAGTCTCTCTCTTTGGACTTCATTTGTGGATCTTCCAGTTCCTGAGGAGGTGAAGCTTCAGGGTGGGCAAGTGGACAGATTGGAGCTACCCCCTGAATGAGGAGGAGGAGGAGGAGGAGGACGAGGCCTGTAGGAACCTCCCTGCCCCCACCCTGCCCTCTGCCACCCACGCCTTCAGACCTGCAGCTGCAGACAGATACCCTGCAGAGGATCACAGAGGACACAACAAATACAACACTCAGTAAAGTCTCAACCATAATAAACTGCAAAGTGACACCATGTGTTAAATACAACAGATGAAATGTTAGAGGTGGACATAGTAAGTAAAAACAATTCATGATAACAGACTCTGAAGTACATCTCAAACATTACCACATGTGTTGAAGTTTAACAAACACCTCAAAATGTTCTGCTCCTTTTGTGATGTTAGGTGTTACATACGGTACCTCCGTTGCCTTTCCATGCACAGACAGCACGAAGAGTGTGAGCCTCACTCCTGGAGCTCTGTCAGAGCCACACAGCATGCAGCTCTTTCATCCTTACTCTGGGCAGGACCGTCCACTCCGCCGCCGCCCGTCGTCGTCATGCTGCGGCTGCGACTGGTCAGCTTCTTGAGCTCGCTGGCAAAGGAAGTGACTTTCTTCTTGTCTTCCCGCACCTGAGAGCAGAAATGGATTCATGACTGAAACACAGAAAGGACATACAGAAATGTGCGTGTAGCTTTTCCTCCTACCATACATTTAATACTTTTCTTCATCCCTAACGTGCAGTTTCTTGACTTTTTTTTGGTGCTCAAGAAATAAATGATTGTTTTGTCGATTCCTTTCCTCACTCATTCCGTCTTAATTATTTTAAAAGAAAGAAACTAAACTGAAAATATCAATTAACCTTTATTCAACAAGGCAGCTAATTTAAACACTTACTTACAGACGCGTCGGCACAAAGGGCCTCAAGTGTAAAAGGATGAAACAAAATAAATAGACATACAGCATATATAAATAAATAGAACAAGATAGACAGAAAGAACTTAACACAGCACAATAATCACAAAAACACAGAGCAAACCAAAACAGTTACAAACAAGGGAAGCAGCGACAGGTTAAGAAGCGCATACAATCCAACATGCAGGTGTTAAAATACAATGGCAAGCACACAACATGAATTAATTGAGATGCAGCATGAGAAACAGTTCATGCAAGCACATACAAAGTCGAAAAACATGCTCAAAAGAGTGACGTAATGCACGTAATATGAGATGAAAAAACGTGGAAAATAAAATCAAAAAGATCTCAAGCACTGAAAATCAGTTACCATGTTTACAGCTATCTGCTCTTTGAGTTTAAGAATGAACTTTCCCGCTCCCCGCCAGCGGCTCTGAGCCTGGTAGACACACTCGTGATCCAGCAGCACCCGCTGCAGGGGCTTGGCGGCGGAGGACTTCTTGGAGCCGGTGTCCTTGGTCACTTCCTCCATCAGGACGTAGTCGAATGGATTGGGATTAGATAGGATGCTGCAGGAATACTTGGCCTTTGACAGAGTCTGGCCAGACAGACAGAGAGTGTACGAGAAACAAAGGAAGCCACTTTAAGGTTGGTACACATGTGTTGCAAAGTTTCAATACGTTTATCAGGTCGTCCTATCCTCACCTGCTGTATGATATCCTGAGCTGTGCTGTAGCGCGGGGCCTTGATCACAGTGTGAGGCTGCTCTGGTGAAACTTCATGGACCTGGACAAAGAACACATCGTCCTCTGCTGCTGCTCCTCCTCCTCCTCCTCCTCCTCCTTCTCTACCTCCCACAGCCACCTCCTCCTCTCCCTCCAGTAGGGAGTTCCTGTCATTTAAGTTCTGCAAGAATAAAACCACACGGTGAAAATATGTGGTAGAACCACAGCATTCAGAGTCTGAGGAAAGAAACGGTTAAACTAGCTACTTTAAATGAAGCTACTGTCCCTAAAGCAGAGTGCCTATGAGGGAGGTTTAATGGAGCTTTTTATTCACTGCATCATAACTTATAAGAGACAACCACAAGAGGGAGCTATAGTCTGCAAGTGCTTTTTGTGGTAGATTTGACGATAAATAATAAACAGTCATAGGACTAACAGGTAATATATGTTTAAATCAGGGTTAACAGGTCAAATAAACCAATAAACCCAATTAATCACGTTCCCTTTTTGCTGATAATATCCACTCTGATATCAGTTTGAATGTTTCTAACAAGTGTGTCTCCGTCTGTACCTCTTCTTTTGTTTTGAGGCAGATCCTCCCAACGCATCCCTCCTCAGAGTTCCAGCTGGAGACCAGTCTAACCACCTCCTCCTCGGGTGCTAGAGGACGATGCTGAGAACAGCGCTTCACCTCGCTGCGCTCCTTCAACAGAGGAACCTTCTCCTCACACAGGAAGTACTCCGACGGGTTTCCTGCCGACGCTACAACCTGTGTAGGTATGTATGACACAACATGACAAACCTATCACATTATCCGAGCGCCATGAGTCTTTCTTAGGTACTAACCGTGTCCAGCAGCTGTTTGGCGGTCGTCTGTTCTGTAATACAGAACACGGTGAAGAGCTCAGGACCAGGAGCTCCGTACACCGTCACCCTGTGCTGCTGTGACGCACGTTTCTCCTCTGAACTGAACAGCTGGTGTGGAGAGAGCAGGAGAGGAGAAAGACAGCAGGTTATCTCCGGTTGCTTTGTTCAGAGTCTTTTAAGCATGGAGGTATAGTATCAAACGTAACCCCAAGAACCTCTGCACTCTCAGAACTTGAAGAGCTGTCTTACCAGCGATGAGGGAGTCGCGCCCCCTGTGGGAACTTCCTCTATTCTGCGGCTGTAGATGAACAGGCTCGACACTTCAAGAGGCTCATTATGTTGCGTCCTCAACTGGACATGTCTGTAGCCTGAAACACACAACAGGGATATTTTGACTACACATGAACTGAATGGTCCGATACAAATAGGTTGAGTCCATTTAACCAGACACAAGATACGACACAGGCCTTACTTATGTTAATTCACTAATATCCATTCAACAACAATCAAACAAGATAAATAGATGAATGAATTAAAGATCTGTCCTTTCTGAGACTCCTACCTGGCTTGAGGGCCTTCAGAGGCAGAGTCCTCTGTCCAGTAGTCTGAGAGCTGTTGTTCTCCACTACGGCTAAGCGCAGGAAGCACATCTCTTCAAAGTGCACGATGAACTGGAAGTGCTCGCTCCACATGGGGTTGAGGGTGTTGCGGTGGATGGGTTTGGTGCGGAAGTGGCAGCTGTCGATGGGCATGCCCAGAACATCCACCTCAATGCACGGACTGCCGGTGCTGTTACTGGGACAAACGTTCTGACCGGAAACAATCTGAAAGGGAAAAAAAGAAGACAGAAGAGGTTTGATTATTAATAAGTAACAATAGACACTATGTATGAACACTATTTTAAGATTCTTTTAATGCTTTGCATTGTCAATAAAATCAAGATTTTTTTCAGTTTATTTGATGAAAACCCCAAAAGGCCAAATAACAGTGAAGTCACTCTGACCTGCCAAAAAAAAAGTCTATAATTCACCTTATGTAGCTCTCTGTTTCACAGACACACACACGCACGCACACACACGCACACGCACACGCACGCAGACACACAGGTTTATACGAGTGTGAGCTCATCCCTCTTATTCATACAGCTGTTTTTTGTTTTTACCAGATCAGTGTGGCCTTCACGACTGTCAAATAATGAAAGCACACACAGATCACTGAGCAATGAAACTGTCCAAACACTCCTTAATGGACCTTATATGAGAAGTTAGAAGTGTATGTTTGAGTGTCCACTCATAATGTCTGTGCAGTCATTGTCAGTATGCCAATGAAGGATAGAAAATAGGTCAAAGAAAGTTGTCAACGCCTTGAGACGTCAGAAAATGCACCATGCAAATCAGGATCCAAATGAGTGTGAAATATTTGGGACACACAACAAAGCAAGCAAGTTATTATCAAAAATGAGAAAATAAGCTTTTTTTAAAGGCAGCTAAAACTATATGCCAATGAAACACTTTGCAAATATAAACAGCTTTGTTATGATTAAAGATTCTTTACTTAGGAAATTGAAACTGAGAGCATAAAAGAGGTAAGTAGGAAAATATACAAACAGGCAGGAAGCTAAAGGCGTGCATCAAAAGTGGTGAGGGAAGTGCAGAGCACAAACTATCAAGGATAAAGTAGTCTTCCTGATTGATCTCCCATTCTGCTCCATGTGTCTTCTTAACTCACAGTGAGGGAATAGATGGCGGGGCTCATTTTCTCCACATCCCTCTCCATCGGACAGAACTGCTGATAGAGCGGACAGCTACGGTCCCACAGCACTGCCGGCTTCAGGACGTAGCCACAGCCGCCGTTGGACTCGAACACAGCCGTGTTCAACTGCATGGGCAAGTCTGAGGAAGAAAAGATTGCATTGTTAACTGCAACGATTTCTGCTATTTGGGCTTGACTTGTTTGGGGGGGGGGGGAATGATTTAAGACACAGAGATAGTAAAAAAAAAACATGAGGGGAGGAGTGAACTAAAGGAAGAGAAGAAAAGGAAGGGAGTGAGACAAGGATCAAAAGACAATCAGACAGAAGATATTGAGAGATTGTACTTTATGTAATATGCCTTTTAGAGAAAAATAACTTCATCTGACAGAGTTCACACAGCGAACACACAGACAGCAGAGAATCTCCGGAAAAGGAAAGGCAGGGACAAATGAGACACATAGTAAGATAGAGAGAAGAGAAAAGGAATAAGAGAGAATATATTGAGAGAGAGAGAAAAAGAAAAGGAAACAAGAATTGGAGCACCTTGGGATCAACAATCCCTTAAAAAGGGCACGATAAGAGATCATTTTAGCAGTCAATTTTTGGCTTGCTCGTTGTTTAAGTTAGAAGTGATGTTCCTTCGTTTGCATACAAAGAGAAAACAGCATCTCTCCTCACCATCAGTCTGATAGTTCAGCGCCACCAGCTGGATGCCGTGCAGCCAGAAAAGCAGAGGGTTGGGGTTTGTCGAGTCGATCCTGGTGGCTGCCGGGTACGTTCTAAGCAGCTGGCACACGGTGTGCTGGATCAGCTTCTGGGAGTAACGCCGGCACAGGCGCTTGGCGGCGTTCTCGTTGACGGAGGAAATGTGGTAGCACTTGGGCGTGCGGATGATGGCGCTGAGAGAGGTGGGGGGGTTGAGGATAGGAGAGGTCTGCTGCTCCTCCCAGCTCAGCCGCTCAGCGCCGCCTATATCGAGAGGACAGAGAGGGAACAGAGAGACGTTCAAAGGCCCTGAAATCCTATTTGCTCAATCAGCCTCAGATGTGGTCCTCGATTGAATACTCACAACAGCTCTGAGAACAAATCAGGATTCAGAAATATTTTAATTAAAATCTGATGACAGTGTAATTTATCCCCATTTATTTCTTCTAACCTATTATAGCATATTTTGTGAGCCTGCTTTGCACTGCAGCAACAGTTCAGCTGCTTGTCCAATCAGATTTTCCACATTTAGTTGCACACATTTTCTAAATATCCTTGAAACACAGCTTATAATTGGAACAAAAATGCATATATATATATATATATATTAATATATCTTCTCTTTCCACATACAGACACTCATCCAAACAGTCACCACCCCTCCACCCCGTGTACCTCTTCCAGGGGTGCGGCTCTGGGTCACGACCTCTCCTGTTGTGATGCAGCGAGCGGGAGCTGTGCCGAATATGGACTTCCTGCTCTTTCCTCGGTCCTTCCCTCTGCCAGAGCCGGCAGGAGACAGCGTGGACAGGCCTGTGTTCCAACACACAAGAGGCAGACGGAGGACACTGGTCAATAATGCAACACAGACAGACTGGAGACACCACACTCATGACATCAGTACCTCTCTATTTGTTTCTAGCCATCCAGAAATCATTTTCTTTAAATGCCGTAACTTTCTATCATAATGAGGAAGTTGGTCTCACTCCAAGTGCATTTGTTTTAAAGAGCTCAGGGGATTAAAGCTAATAGCACTGACTTTAAGCTATGTAATATTGGCAGAGTAGCAGCAAAAATATGTTTGCCTTTAAAAACACGCTTTTTTTGTTCTGTAAAGCAATCTATAAGATAACATCTGAAATCTGTGGGATAACATGGAGAATGGAGCACAGAAGCAGATGGACGCTTCCAATCTTCTTTGCAAAGGTCCCGTTTGTAATGGTAATAAGACGCATGTCATTAAATCAATGCTGCATCAAATGCTGAGTGTGACACATTTAATACTTTTAATCTTGAGCTATTTCTTATGTGGTGTCAAATTTCTGCCTCCTTTCCAAAGAAATATTTGAGATGAAAAATGTACTATGCATTTTCTGAATGTATGAGTGTTTTTGTTTTTTTTAAAGGATTTAAACGTTTGTAGAAAAGTTTTTAGAAGTAGCATGTCCATCTGCAACCTATTGTTCCCTGTCTTCTCTTACTCAGATCTCAGGTCCCTGGAAACAGTAAACAAATAAAATACCAGTGGAAACACAGACACGTTTATAAGGGCAAATGTCATGTTAAGAAAAGAGGAGACAAGCAGAGAAGAGGACACTTAAGGGAGGAAAGAGGAGATAAGAGGTTGACATTTAAGGGACAAAATATTTGAGGTTGCAACGGTTGCATGGAATGAAGATAGATCCAAGTAAAGAGGGAAAAGAAGACGTTTTAAAAAGGGTACAGAAAGCAAAGTCTACCATGCTGAACTGCTGAGAACTGCATGTTAGGCAAAAATAAATTGTGTTAAAATGTTGACACGTTAAAGTTAAAAGTGGATGAAAGAAGGAGGTGACATGTGACCTTGGATCAAATTTAAACCTGGCACACTAACTTTACTCAGCCTCTAAGACATCCCAAAAATATGTCCTTGATGTATAGTATATAACAACTCTGCGGTTTGCCGTGCTGTTTCTGGAGCTGCAATGAAGTAACAATATCTTTCCCATGGGGGAACAAGGCATTCGTCATCTCTGTGGGAGTCCAGTGTGGGAGAGGAATGGAGTGCAACACTGAGATATTAAATGTCTTGCAATGAAAAAAAAATCAAAAACACGGGAAAGGGAAACATGGGAGTAGATCAGAGTGGGACAAGACCGAAAAAAGGAGTTAATGAAAATGGTAGTGTGTGAAAAGTGAAAGAGGAAAGGGTGCAAGAAAGATTGTGACACAGAATATAAATCACATTGAATCCGTGTAAGAGAGAAGGAACACTCAGAAATGTATGTTAAAATGAAAAGCAGGAGAAAGAAAAGGAGTGTGTGTGACAAATAGACTGAATGATGACGTTTTCTCTACCAGGAAACTTCACAGCCTGGCAGTAGATGATGAGGTCGGACAGCTCCTGGGCAATCTGTCGACTCTCCTTCTTGTTCTGAGGGAGGTAGAACTCCTCGCCCAGCTCTATGTCAAACACCTGCAAGTGAAGGTAGACACAGGACATGGACAACACAGTTAACATTTCACTTGAAGAGACAGCGATATACTATTGCAGCACAGACAATAGAGAGTCATTGTTAAGACTTAACCTCCATGCCAGACTGCTGTCCACAATTAATAGTTTTACATCATCAGCATATTCAATCTAAACATGTAGTTTCTTTTTTTTAAACCTCTTTCTGATTCTACCAGTCAAGTAGATCAAACTAAAAACAATTATCGATAAGCATTAGCTTGAATTGAAACAGCCAAAACACCCTCTGGCGTAGTAGCTATTAAATGGGCTTCTTCCTATAGTATTTTAATCTGTAGTTCTCTACCTTTCCTTTGCTCTGCGTGGTGCTTTCAGACTTCTTCATCCTCTTCGGTATTTCATCCACAGATTGCTCTTCTTTGTCTGCTGAGCTCTTCCCCTCTGGCTTGTCATCCAGGATGTTATCTATTAAGGTAATGCGATGAGTTATAGTGCTTCCGAGGTGTTATCAGGCGTGCAGGAGTACTGTGTGTGGAGCAGAGTGGGTCTGACAGAGCACACATCCTCAAGAAATGTTGGGTGAACCATATAGTGTCATAGTGTTCTAAAAACCTGGGTGAAACATACTGCATATCAACACAGAAACACAAACTGTGACAGGTTAAGATACCTGCCAATCAAGCAAGCACACCCCCCCAAACATACCTCTCTTCAAAGCATAACTTCCTGTTGAGGACATATTTCTACCTTCAATCAAAATTGTTTATGTATATTAGTATAGCAGACAACATCCAAGAAAGTTGAGGCAAAAACTGTCCTGACAAAGATCCAGCCTAGATTTAAAATGTATTTGCTAAGCAAAAATTGTGCTTTGGGGTTGGTATCCCAGTTGCTCTTGATATACTTAGCGGGGAAAGCAGGTATCAATACCCCTAGGTACATGCAGACCAGGCTACCAAGCAAAAACACACAAAACCTCCTCCTTGTTGATATTCCAAGCAACAGTCTATCAACTGTAAACAGGAGCAACGGTAGGGAGTTCTTCCCTTTGCTCTCATTCCTCCTACACATTCATCGCAGCCAAAAACACAGAAAGGAACCAATCTGCTTGAAAATGCAGAAGCTTTTTATCACAGGAAACATGTTTAATTCCTGACATTTGGAATCTCATCCTTTAAAAAAGGCTTTGGCAAAGGAGTTGACCCTGAACGTCACCTTTTAGACAGTAGCCAGAGAAGTGAGTTGGGCCAGAATGTGGCTGGAGGGAGCTACCATTAAAATGAGAGATGGTGTCGACTTGGCAGTTTAGTGCTCAAGCGCTTGTATTTACTGGGCCAGCTGATGTTAAGTAGAAGCATGTAGGGTCAAAATGGAGACAGTCCTGGGTGGAGTGGAGTTTATTTAGTCAGGATATCTTGTTAGTTGTCTGATTAATGGTTAATATTTCAGTGAAAAAAAAGGAGTTATCAAAATGAAACCAGTCTATAAGGTTTAGATTAGAGCAATCGTTTTGAGAGGTCTTTGACCGGTAAGTTCTTCGGAGGAATTGGGAGAGTGCTGGGACTGCGACCGGGACAGGGTAGTTTCCCCTGGTCTGTTGTTTAGTGCGGGGGCAGCATAGGGCCTGAGAAACCAGATGGCTTTGTTGTGTTTCCCTGATGAGCCTGCCCAGCTACTGGCGAGGTCACAGACAAATACAGTGCAGAGGGGAAGAAGGAAGGGAAGTTACTGTATGTGTTTTGTGTGAGAAAAAGAAATCATGCTAACAATGACCGAAATGAATAAAAAGGTTTGTTTTTCAAAGCCACATATTATTTTGATGTCATTCATAATACACATCTTTCAAGGACAGTCTTGAAGTAGACTGTGTGGTCACTTCCTGCCCTGATTTTCAAAATAATTCCTGAAGGTTGTGTCAGATATACTGTAGCTTCTTGTCTTAAAGCAGAACGTTAAAAACTTACCGTAAAAAAAAAACAAAACAAAGCAGGCCAAACACAAAGACACACGCAAGCAAACAGCACTTTTTTTTATAATGTTCAGGTTACTCTAAACACTGTGTTCATAGTGACATCATTTTATTTAGAATAAAAGGAACACAGTCATACGAAGATTAGCTGCAGCAAAGTAGCAGTTAAGCATGTTTGTTGCATTATTGCAATTACATAACAGTGATAAAACAAGTGGACATCATAACAAATAAAGCAATAACAAAGTCGGCGAAAAGCCTGCGCTGAAGAGCACTAATGGTTGTCCTTGTTTTATCAGCTACATTGGAGAATGAGGGAGGATGTCTTGAAACAGAGGTTATCATTTCAAGCCCTTGGTGTTAGCAAGTTCATTATCTCAGCAAACCCTCAAACATCCTTTCAGGATATGTTTTACCGTCAAATGGATTTGATTAAATCATTAAGGTATTTACTAGGTTCCAGGTATTATAGAATATGTAATTGTTACAATTTAAACTGCTGCTTACTATGGACAATAGATGGCTACGGTGCAGCAGAACATAACCCGACGTCAACAAAAAGCAGAAAGCTAGCTGTTACGGTGAGGCACAGACAGGAATCAGTCTATAGCAACGACGCAGATCACTAGTGCACGTCTACATACCGTACCAGTGTTTCCTCTGTCCTAATTCTGCGGTGGTTGACAACCACAGCGAGTACAGTTGCAACAATACCACAATTTCCCCTTAAAACTTATAGGGGCACAAAATGAATGTAGCATTTTCAGCAGTAATTTGAATGAATCAGCTAGATCAACAGCTACCACTGCAGGACAAAATAGATTGAAACACTGGTACTTAGAGAGGCGCATCAGACCCGTGCATTTACCTTCCAGGCCATACGAGGCAGTAGAGGCTGTGAGGACATCGGCTAAGTGGAAAACAGGCAAGATAAAATAGGAAAGGAAGGGAGTGAGAATAGAGTACCAACGTAAACTGAGACATAAGTGTTAAAAACAAATGGAGACGGAATAAAAGTGTGAATAGAAACTGATTCAAGTGCAATAAAATAAGAATTTAAGTAGAATTTTTACGTTTTTGTGTTTTTAGAGATTAAACCTTGCAGTTCTCCTTACCATCTGATAGAGACTCGTAGTCGTAGTCGTATTCGTCTTCTTCCTCTTCTTCTTCCTCATTGGTGTGGTTGCCAGGCGAAGTAGCCCCGGGTGACCCATTGCTAGCCTGGGCCTGCATGTGGGCCAGCTGGTGAGCCTGTAAAAGAGTTAAAATACTGTAAAATAATAAAAAAAAACAGAGTGTTGCAAAGTGAAAGTAAGTGCATGTAAAAAAAAATTGGATGGGAGCAGAACTAATATTTTCAAAGATATACCTGTATCAGATATAGGATCGATATCTCCCCATTACCTGTATATATGACCTCTTATCTTCAGAGAATCTATAGTGCGTATATACCGCAGCACGTTATGTAAAGCTAGGTGAAAATGGTGTGATTAGGTGTACATTTAAGCATATTTGCATCTATTATGTATGTGACAGCACTCTAATCACCTGTGCTAAATATTGAATGTACTAATGCTCCCTGCTAAATATAAATGATGTATTTATACGTGTGGGGACAGGATGTCTTTCTTTCGACCTTCTGTTTGAGTATGTCCACCGGCGCCTGGTGTGCTTTGAGCTTCTTGTTCTTGAGGAGGATTCTCCCCCGCAGCTGCAGCGGCGACGGCAGGTGAGGGTCATCGCTGAAGTCACTTTCGAAGAGGAAGCGCGTCACGAGACGTTCCCCGAACACCGTCTAATGGATAAATGTCAAAAAAATGTGATAGACAGACGTCAATAAATGATTGGAACGTAAAAGTCCTTTTTATCAACACAAAATATAAATAAACAAGCCCATGATGACGTAAGATGGCCGGAGGCACAGAGCTGTCTCAAGATGAAAGATTTTTTTCTTTTATCAAGCCACTCAGAAGTCAGTCCCTACGGAGGTTAGGATGCTGGGAAGTTTTATTAGATGAAAGCACGATGATATTCCATGATGTTTCTGTCGTGCCCAGATACCACTAGCCTCGAGTATACAACTTTAAAAACAAAGAAAAGAGGGACAGTTGTAGCCTGATGACCAGAAAAAACAAGCCTCTGGCTGGAAGTTCACCAGTTTGAATGCGCAGAGCAGCCGAGAAAATTTGGGAAAACAAATGAGTGGAGTTGATCAAAGAGTGGTGTCACAAGTGCTACTGAGGGAAACATGCCCACCTGGAGGAGAAATTAGACTACATGAAGGTGTAGGTGCATGTGATTCCCTAAATATAAAGCATGGTATTGCTCAAAGTGGAGCATGTGTTCTTAGAAAAAGTACTTACAAAGTATTATAATGGAACTTTACCAACAAGGATTTCAAGGATACCTTAAAATGATTAAAAAGGTAATACTATGGGATGTCTAATTTGACTGAAAGAGAGTAAATTTGATCTGATTGGTGATATTCTGTTTACACACAAATGACTTTTCTCAACATCAGAAATTAAGAATCAGAAAATCCCAACATCATCAAATTTAACCACATAGACACTGATAAGGACAGTCCTATCTTGTATATTTGTGCAGAGTCTACATTTGAGATACAGCTGCTGTCATACCTTGAAGATTTCAGCCATCGTGCGTTGCTGTGGAAGGGAGCAGTGGTTCTCGATGGACAGGATGACGGGCATGTCCGAATTGACAAATGCGGACCGGCTAACTGCCTCCACCACATCCTGGAGGATCACAGGAGAGATTTCATTCTCAAAGACATCGCTCAAAGTCAAATATGAGACAACGAAAAACAATACTGAGATGAGATTTACTAAAACAGCTCTCACATACGTCCTCAAATAAAAATGTTCGGGCTCTGATTAGTCAAACTATGATTATATCAAATAAAAAGCATTGATATTTCTCTCAAGAGTACCCAGCTGTGAACTGAGCTCAGTTAGAATGTTCTCAAAATTCCCATTTGTTTGGTTTATTGAACTTTTCTCCCTGGAATACGTTTATTAAAATAAATACATCATACAGCAGAACAATTGAGTTTGTTGATATACCTCCGTTGTGGACATTTTTGCCAAAGAGCTATGGAAGCCGTAGTCAATGGGCATCTCTTTTCTGAATTTAACTATTCATATAACTAACCTTGAAGGGTATTTTAGTGGTAAGTGTGTGTCCATGATAAATGACTGGCATGCCGTCATCTCCATCCCAACAGTCCAACTCGACACTCCTACAGCCTTGCAGCAACACCTGGTGAAAAGTGACATCCAACGATCAGACACAAACATGCAAATAGGAGTCATGGGTCCAGAAAAAAATAAAAATACGTTGAAGCAGGCAAAAAGGCTCAGGTACCTGACTGTACAGCTCAACAGAGGACTCTCCTTTGAGCTGGTGTCCAGTCAGATAGGTGTTATGAGAAGACTCAATGTAGTAGTAGGACAGAGGGTACTGCAGCTCCTCCGGGTTCATCTGGGATTCCTCATTACGAGAAGCGAAGTTCTCCTTATCCATCAGGAACCTGATATTGAGAGAGGGCTGGTTAGATTGTGCTCAGTGACATGAGTACATAATGTATTTGGGGTTTTGTTGCCATATACCTTGCAAAGCCTTCAAATGACATCCAACCCATTTGTCTCATGCTTGATGAGGGCTCAAATTTCTGCAAGAGAAAAGCGTAAAACAATTAACTAACATTGATCAGCAGTCACTTTGACTTCCATACGTCTGAGGTTTCCTACATCCTTGTTATATACATTCATCTGGTCATATTCACAAATCTGCATTGGGTAAGTTCTCATCCTTTTCTTAAGGCCTCCATCTCCACCATCTCTCCCTCCAGTTCATCTTAAAAGTCGCTTTCCTTGCATTGGTTCATCAGTTGCTTCCAAACTCTACCTGTATAATGCTGAGAATCTCATCGTAGCTCAGGTGCTCTCTCTGACAGTTGACGAGGAAGTCGTTGAGCTGAGGGATAGCCAATCCCAAGACGCCTAGCGATGCGTTTTCCACTCCTGTCCCATTGGTCACAATGCTGGCTGCTGCAATGGCGTCTGAGATCTGCCTCTGGTTGTCAGACATCTGCTGCCTCGTCCGGATCAACAGGCCAAGATCAGAACCATTTCGGGTTAATAAGTCTGGAGGGGGAAGGAAGAGATTAGGCGAGAGTAATGGAGAAACAACATATGACATATAAATGAATGTTTTAGTTCTTTTACCAAGGTCTGGCTGTAGCCCTGAATCTTTGTCGTCGATGCTGAGGTTGGTGTAGAGAGGAGCCGATTCTGGACTTGAACGGCTGCAGGGGACAGCAAAGGTGTCAAACAGCTCCTTCAGGTCCTTTCGGCTTCGGATACTGTGGAGGAAGCAGCACAGCACACAATTTACTCCCATTTCAGCCACCAACAGTTTCTATACTACAGACACTGATGTGCAGAAGCATTGTGTCAGATCAGCAGACAAAACAGCTTTCCAAAAGCTTGAAAAACTGTTTTCAGCTCCTTACAGCTCCGTGAGTTGAGCAAGTATGGAATATTTTTGAGGAAACTGCTGGGCAGCAGATGAGAGGACACACTACAATCTAAGAAATGTAAGACTGGTATGAGAATAATCCATCGCTTATCAAGGAAAAACATTGTTTCCTTTCATTTGACAGGGAAAAATATTATTGAAGCTAAATATTATACAGACAAGACTACGTGGAAACTATCCTGGGCATGATAACCTGGAGAAGCATTTGTTGAATGTTTTACTGTCTTTAGCTACTGTTGATAAGAACACAACAATTTATATAACAAGAGGGAGTGAGGTGGCAGAAACGAGCAGAACATGTACAATATACATACATCAATGCTTCAGGCCATTAGTGAATGTCAAATGATTATATGTAAGCAGACAAGTGTGCACCTTACTCTGCTGTTACTATTGTGCAGAATCGAGTAGACTAATATTTGATATCCTGTACCTGAATGACTTGAAGAGCTCAACAAACTCGATGAAGCTCATCGTGCTGTCAGAAATCATGAGATTCTGGAAGCCTTTGAAGCAGCCTTTACCTCGGCCGTGCCATGACCTGCTGCTCCATGCACTACAATCCCCAGAGAAAAGTGAAGAAGAAAGAAAAATATATTAACCTCAATGAAGAATGAAAGTGGTAGATATCAGACTGTCAAACCTCAAGTCTTCATATACAGCACGCTACATACCCTGGCTGTGACTTGGCCGTTCCTGAGAGAATCGGAGAGGATTGTGGGCGTGAATGGTTGGACCCTGCCATACTGGAGGAAGAGGAGGACGACGAGGAGGAAGAGGCCAGCAATCCGGGGCTTTTACTGGATGAGAGGGAGAATGGTCCTGGGAAGCTGTCCTCTATGGAGGCAAAGAGGACCGAGCGTTAACAAAAACCATACAGACAATAGAGTGCCGTAGGTTAAGATTGTTTAGTTCTTTAAAATTGGTATTGTTTCGTCATTTTTTTAAAATTCAAATAGCTTCGTAAGATGTCACCTGGATCTTCTTGGTCGATGCTGTCGTACTCCGGTCCATTTCGATATAGTCCCTCCTTACAGCTCCGTGTTTTCCTAGAAACCATCTCGTCATCTGTGGCATCCCCACTGTCTCCCTGTGTTGAATGCGTAAACATACGTGTTGTGTTAAAAACAACGAACAATTCAGTATCAAAAATGTACAAGTCCGTCGCTGTAATAAGAAGAATAATGTAGATCAAGACTGAACTGTGAAATGGACCAGAGTCTTTCAATATATGTAGTGTACTGAGCAGTTGTATTATTAGAGGAAACAGCACGAAACAGGGAGCTCTATAAAGGCTCTTAACATGACAAACCAGTGGTATAATGGTTGGAATTCATTCAGAAGATTGGCCTGAGGTATCCTGAAAGTGAACCTGTAAAACACTGAAGTTCTGCCTGCTCACTCACTGTTGATAAGAGTCTCAGATTAATTTAATGTGATTCAACGTACTGACCCTGACAAGGACCTTCTTCTTCTTCTTGGTCTTCTCATTGATGCTCAGAGGGCTGTTTTTCTGGGCAGCAGGTTTCTCCATTCCGCCTGTGCCCATGTTCCACCTCCGCCCACCGAACAGCTCAATTGCATGAGCTAGTGTAGGGCCTTCGTACCGGCCATCCTCCTAACAGAGATGAAAATACAGACACAGACAGAAAGTAAGCAAACGCACAGGTTAAAACAGGCAAGGTTGAGCTGTCAAAGAACCAAAGTTTGCACACCATCCTTTGTGTGCTGCACACTGTACATTGTATGACCATAGGTAATGAAACTTACTCAAAATGACACACTAATGGCAGTATTTTCAAGGAAACACGATCCAGTTCAGAGTTTACCTGATACAAGCTGACATACTGCTTCCTAAGCCACTGCAACCGTTGGTCAGGAAACTTCTTTAATTTTCTGGATGCGTTCACCAACTCTGACAGGCCTTTATGAAGCATCTGTGCCGTGTGGTTGGGGGCCACAAAGTGCAGGAGTCTAAGTGGCAGTAGTTAGGAGAGTAAATGAAATGTTAAGTAAACAAGCAAAGTGTTTTTAAAGATGTACAAGTGTAGCAATGCACCAGTGTTCAGAAGGTGGATTTCAAAAGCAGGGTCACAAGGCACTTACCTGTTGTCTGTGGTACTGAGACCATAGAGGAGGCTGAGGCCATTTTCCTCCACCGTCATCTGGCTCAGCTTGTTTTGCAAACATACAGCATGGACGTCTACTCCCTCATGACCCAGGAACACTGCCTGCACATTCAAATAAACATTAATATCATGAGTGCAATCTAACTCGTGACTGTCAAATGCTATTCAAATGCAGAACTCATTACTAACCCTACAAGATCAATCAATATTCTTCCAATGCAAGTTTGACAAATTTGAGTAATACATGAACATATTTGAAATAATGGTACCAATGTTAATTTCAAGAAACAGCTTAAGACAAAATGTTTTACTTGTTTTAAGGTATACAATTACAATGTCTATACTAGAATAAGGCTAAATGTGAAGATGTATACGGTGTAAATACCAGATAAATAAAGCTTTTTATCGTTTTCAACACACCTTCACCACTCCCAGGTCCAAAAGGCCCTCTGCTAGTCCTGCCACTACAGCCTGTCCTAATCCCAGTGGTTGATCTGTGGGTGAAGCCCATCCGCTCTGAGGCTTACCTGCCATAAAACACACATCAACACATTTACGATATGTTTGCAATACAGTAAAAGCATAGGAAATTGAGCATCTTGTACAACATTTACAACCAGTTTAAATTGGATGTGCTACAAAACCTACTTACCTTGGATAAACACAGGAAATATGTTAAATCATGGATGCATTTTTTCCCTTTGTTTAAAGAGTAATACTGAGAGAAGAAATGGGGCTCATCTCCCTGAGATATACACACTTATCCTAAATTGTACTGATGATAAGGCAGCTCATTTTATGTTCTTTTTAACACATTTGCCTAAACAAATGTAAATAATCTTTAAGAACAATGGTTAACTGTCTCACAGCAGGAAATTAAACATATTGCAAAAATACAACAAAACCCTGAATAATACAAACCCCAGAAAACAAGATTGTAAGTCAAACCGACACGTTTTTTAAGCACTTTTGTTTACATTCCCTAAATACTGTTGACCAGTAAACTAACATGTTTTTTTCTTTTTTACTTATCTGAACAAAAAAATGATAACATGAATCATTGCAAAAAGATGTAAATGGAATTTGAATTTATACAGATTTTTCTTTTAATGACAGAGACTCTGTCATAGTTTACCCCAGGTGAGTGTTGTGTTGTCAGGTTGTAGTCTCAGCAGACAGCGAGCTGTGAGGTGGCTGTCCTGGTCGTAGTGGATGACTGTAGCCCCCTGCAGCAGAAACTGGTGAACGTCTGGTTGCAGTGAAAACACGTACCTAGTAAAGGAAAATACAGAAAAATTGTGGCGTGTCTGTTGAGCTTTCTATGCGTGTTTGAGGGTGAGTGTGTGCTTCTTACCAGGGAATGAGCTCCGTGCCATGGCTGAAAGCTCTGTGCGTCTCTTCAGTCCCATGAAACTCCACCTCTTTCACCACCGGCTCAGACGACAAGTCGCCCTCGGAGTCCGACAAGTCCCCCACCATGAATCTGAAGATGGTACAAGTTGGGTCACAAGAGCAGAGATTCAGCGTGAAATAAGGGAGAAAAAATTACAAAACAAAATTGAATATCTGAATTTCTACGTTTTAGTTTACTGACTTTGATGAGATATGTAAATCCTATTTATTTGTTTTCAACTACTGTAGAAATTAGGTGAAGCAGTTATTTAAAAAATGCACAGAGGTCCAGTCAAAAGTAAGAAATGACCTGCATCAAAATACAAAAATGTACTCTGTACTTTAATGCATCGGTAAAACAAGCAAAAGCATCATGCATTTGTCATTGCACATTCCTTTACTACTGAACAAGCTTCCACGCAAACTTAAACCCTGTTGACGTTAGGTGGTAGTAATGAAACTCCCGACACTCTTATAACCACTTACAAGACACGGTTTGATTCTGACGATGTCCTAAATGAATGGGAACTAGAATGGGAGAAGGGGACACAGAAGGAGGAGAGGAAGTGTGAGACGAAGAATGAGCGGACAGAGATGTTTCTAATCAAGTTCTCAAGTGGAAAGAAAAATAGCAAAAGGAGGATAAAAGAGGGAAGATCAGGACACAGAATTCCTAAACCTCTTTGAGTAAGAAAGATAATAATGATCTGCATCCCACTCCAGTACAGAAGAATGAACACTATACCCCTAGCCAAGATGAAATAAGTGTTGTTATCCTGAGCTCGAACTTGAAATAATAACTCGGAGTCAGAGAAAACTGTCAAAAAAACTGAGAACATCATCCAGGTTCCCTTAATACAAACACCACAGGCCGAGATTGAACTGAAATGTTTTCTAACAACATTGTATGTTAGTGTCCAAATTCCAGCTCGAGTCATTAGCTGCCTGCCAGCAGTGCGCTGACAAGTACCAGAGCTCTGTTCCTTCCTGTTCTGACAGGAAACTAACCTGTTATCTTTTATCTCTGTGTGACAAAGGAGTTTATGTGAAATCACAGCATCTTAATAACAACCTGCAAATGTGTTCCTTCGCAAACCCATTATCTCGTGACGGTGTTTATGAAAGACAATTGTGAAAGAAAATAGAATGACTGTGATGCAGAGAACATATATTCCTCTTGAATATACATTCGAACATTATGAAGCAGTTGTCTGCTGTGGTTGCCACAAACAAAATGTCCACAAAAGCCTTTTCAGAAACTTCAAACTCTGTGTTTTCCATCTGGGGAGCACTTTACATAACAGCTTCATAACAAGATGGTAACAGTAGGGTAAGAGTTTGATACACACCACCTTACAGGAAAAAAAAATTACATTAAAACAAGAAGCCAGAAAAAAAAAAAAGAAATACAGTTAAACACCAGTAGACAAAAAGTCAAAACAAATGCAGTGTGCAATCAACTAATACACAATGTGCCAACGTCTTGATGGACTGTGTCAAATGCAATGTGCCATTTGATACTGCACTGTATGTCTCATAATAAGCTTGGTCACAACTTGCACAACACCCCCACAGATCATCCTTCAGCTGAATGGGTTCAAGACCTTGTTACAGAAAACATTCACCCTTCTAAGCCATTCTGTGTGCTATGCTAAAGCTGTGTGGCACCTCATGCCGCACACTGAAATAACTCGTCTTTGGGGTTTTGTACAAAAGAAAAATCCAAGTTGTCATGTAAAACAAGTAGGGAAAAAAAGGGGTACTGACTGATTGCGGCAGCGGTCCCTAAGGGAGTTATTTCTGGACGTAGGGGATGGGCCAGTAGAAGAGGGACTGGTGGCGGCCTCATCAGGATCCTCTGCCTCCAAACTACGATTACAAGATCTGAGGAGCAGAGAGAGTCAGAGGAGAATCAAGTTCATGAACATTTTAGATCAAAGCAAAATGGTCGTCACTTTTTCAAAGATGTAGCGTACCTGATAATCTGGAGGATGTTGCTGACAGTAGCTTCTTTCTCTGGGATGTGTAGTCCATCTGAACCTGACCGCGACATGAAGTTGTGCTGGCCGCTGTAGTCGGACACAAACTAGAGAAAGGACGACAGACAAAACAAATCAGGCTTGAATTATAATAACACGATGTCTGAATTGTGCCACTAGAGTCAGTTTTATGAGCTATATGTATGTTTGTGAATGCTTATGCAGTGTTTACTGTACCTCTATTGAGTCATCTGTGTTATACAGAGGTGGTTTGAGGCTGATGATGCTTGCTGTTCCATCCAACGAGTCACTCAGCTCCTTCAGAAAAACCCCACAGAACGGCACCACCTTTGGTGTAGACACAGGACAGAGAAGCATATCCCATTATGGCTTTTACTGTACTTTAATTATTTCTTTACAGTAATGTAGACTATTGTTGTGACACAAGACAAATTAGACCAAGCCTGAATAAACAGCAACCCACCTTGCATCCTGGGATGTTGAGAGCTCTGGTCACAATCTTCTTGTACTCAGAAGAGGATTCGTGCTGAGCCATGGCATCCTTTAGGCTCCTCATGGTCTCAATGTCTGACTGGTCCATAAACTGCCACATCTTCAGCACCTTGCGGGACCTGGACGACAAAGAAGATCTCAAATGTCAAGAGCAGGTATGAGCAGGTATTGTTTAACGAAAGACACGCAAAATGAATCTCTGTGTACAGTATGTGAGCATAGTGTAGTTAGTGTCTGTGTGTGCCAACCTGAGTCCAGCCAGGAACTCCATGACACCGTTGTAGTTTCCCATATTCCAACAGCATTTAGCAACATGGACCAGATAGGAGAAAACGTCTCTCTTCTCCTCCATGGATCCTGCTGTTAGGATCAGCCACGTCACCCACGAACTCACCTGTTGATAATGTTTACAGTTACGATCGCATCAAAGATTATAAACAAACGGTTATTATATTTTTGGGGATTATCCATGTATAATAATTCAAATTATATCCATTTTAAATATTCAAAATAAACATATTTGTACAGAAAACATGAGCAACTTCTAGTGATACTATATCTGTCTGTGCTGTACATAGCTAAATGAAAATTTGTTAGGTTTGTCTAATAGTGTTATACTAAGTTTTTAAGACTGTGTTTTTATGTGAAGAAACTTTTACGCTGCCATATATATATATAAACATTACAGATACTCTTGTGTGTGGTCTTCCTTGTGCTGATGTCATCTCTTTTAAAGTCTGGTATGGCAAGCCGTTACTAAAGTGGTAATGTATGCACAGGACTATGCCAGCTGGCCACACACTGACACGTGCGCACACACACACACACACACACACACACACACACACGAAAGACTGAGATATGTATCGGCTGCTTTCTGTCTCTGAGCTGACCGCTCTCCAGCACGCGCAAAAAGACCCGATGGAAGAACGAGATATGTATCAGGGTCAGCTTCCTTTCACATTCTCTGAGACTGACAGCAGACACACACACACACGCACGCACGCACACACGCACACACGCACACACACACACACACACAATACAGGAAAAGATCAGATTTCAATCTGGCTGCTTCTTGCTCTCTAGTGTCCGTGTCTGTGTGTTTGAGCCTGATGAATGTATTCACACACACATTAAAGCACACACAAACTGAAACTCCCTAACCCCCTTGCAGGCAGTAAAAACATCCCCCTAGCCCAGAGATCTATTACTGGGTTATGTAAGGGTCTTTAAAGCCAGCCACAGTCTGACTTCAGGGGGACAAAAAAAAGCCAAACACACACACACACACACACACACACACTACAAAAACATGTCACAAAGTACTGTAGAGTTTTTGTTTGAGGTTGTGATGAAACCCTGGTAAAATGTGTTTAGTTTTTTTTTGTCCCATGTCACCTTTGACCTGTAAGTGGATTCATTCACAAGCAAGCACAGACACAACACATGCAACCAAACCCTCTGCCCATGTACAGAACTCAGACCCATTAACATGCACTATATGAGATACTCACATATCAACCTCAAGCACATGTACAATTTAACACACAATACAAACAGACATCTTACATACGAGCTTCTACATTCAAAAAAAGATCATCTATATTGAAAAAAAGACAAAAAGCTGGTTGTCACAATTTCAAACTCCCTCGTGTTAATAGCGTTATGGTTTGTTATGTGTCACATTTTTCTCCCTATCCAATATGAGTAAAAGCACACCAGTTTATGCATTTCTCCTGTGTGACAGAAGCATGGTCATGAGGAGGGCTGAGGGTTGGGAAGGCGGCTGTGAAAATGTAATCCATCTCAGAGAGTTAACCGTCTCCTCCAAACTGGTCCCACCCACTCAAACTGAGAAGCTTGAAGTCAAAGTTGCACCACTTTTCCTACAAATCACACAACGTGTATTCATGCAGTTCAGTGAGAACAAAAATGTATTGGAGCTCAAAGTTTATTCTGGAACCTTGAAAACAGCAGTAGAGAAAACAAACCTCAGCACGAGGTCTACTTAGTTTGTCGCTCTGAAGATATACTGTCATATCATCAGCGAATGAAATTGTAGATGCTCAAATTGTCAGTTACAGAAAATCCCTCCTGGAGCTGGCAAGGGTGCAGGGTCCTTGCTCTATTGTGCATTTGTTGTGCTGCAATATACTGTATATTGTTTACTGACAAACAACCCTGCTGCACCACAGTCTCTCTTATCTGTTACTCCTGCTCTGTGCCAGGATGTGCGTGCCTTGCGTGGAAATCTGCTATCAGGCTTTATGACACGAAGCCAAGCCTCGTCAGCGTCAGGGTTAAATTACAGTCACCATCGAAACCATTCTCCCCGTCTGCAAAGTGGCTTTTTGAACCGCCACAGATCAAGGCATATTACAGAGTTGGCATCTCCTCAGATGTTCCAGATAGCAAAAGTGTGTACTCAGTGTTTCGTATGAGAGATAATGAATAGGATATGAAGAGATGTGTATAGAGAGAGAGAGAGAGTGTATGGGCAAAGAAGATCATAGCATAACTGTTATCAATAGCAACTTCACACAATTTCAAACACACACACACACACCGAACCGGAGCTGGGTACAAACTGATCCCTCCTTTGATGTTTGTGTATGCGCTCATCTGTCCGTCAGTCTGTCTGTCTGTCTGTCTCCATCTGTGCGTGTGTTATTAGTTGAACCATGAGGGTCAGTTTCTCCTTGATACATGAATTGCATAACCAAGGTTGACGGAGAACTAGGACAAAGTCAACGCATGAACACATACTCGTCAAAGCTAAACACTCCGGACAGACACAAAAGGGGCCCAAACTTCTCACCCTTCCTTGCCTCCGTGCTTATCCATTTTAACTGCATAATCCCTCACTCCCATACATGGCTTGAAAATGAACAGGGTCAAAACTATTAAGATACCTTTGGGAAAATTGTATTTAAATTTACAAAACTGTGTCTGTCAAGTGTGAGGAAAGAAATCAGACCCCTGAAGATAATAATGTAACATTTCTTGGAAATGTATTTACACAAAGTTACTTTAAATACCTGAAGATGTTCCATTTGAGACAAAAACCCTCATAAGAATAGATTATCGTATAAAAGGGCTGCGACCAGACTATTTCCAGTACGAATTAATCTACCAAGTATTTTTCTCAATGAATCGATTAATTGTTTGGTGTAAATGGTGTCAGTAATATGCAATGGTACATCTCAAATGCCTTGTTCAACCAAAAAGGCCAAAATCAAAGATTTTCAGTTTAAAAACCCAGAAGACAAAAAAAATAGAAAATGTATTCTCTTTAGAAAAGTAGTTGTTTTTTTTGCCATTTTTGCTTAAAAAACATCAATAGAGTTGATCGATCTACTAATTGTTTGAGCTTCGTTGGCAATGATTCCAATAACAGTTTGTTGGAGTCGTTAAAGAATAAAAGCAGAACGCGGCTAGTAAATAAGAATTCAAAATTCACGATAAAAAAAACCAGAACCTACATTTCTCATGTTAATATTTGACATAACACCGTCCACAATCAGTGAGGAAAGCTTGTCTAAACCACGGTGCACAGTCACAGCTAAGACAAATTCCGCCAACAGCATCTCATCTTCTTCAGAGAGCGCCACGATTTGAAGCAGCTTCGTCGTTGTCGTCGCAGGGAGAATCACTGTTGTCATTTGACTCTCACTCCATTGTGCCCATATATGGCTACAATGCACATTTGACTTTTTTTTTTTAGTGTGTCTCTCCTCTTGCTGACTTGAAATGAAAACCAGCTGATGTGAGAGAGAGAGAGGCACGCAACTTAAAGATGACATCATCGTTTCCAATCAATCTCTCCCTCTCTCGCTTTTTCCGTCTCGGCAGTACAACGGTGTGATTGTTTATTCTCAAAGTCACTCACCAGAAAAGACGCAAGGCCCGGGAGAGTAACTTCAGCCAAATTACACCGCTGTGAGTGTGAGTGTGCGTGCGCTTTTGTACACACGGTGTGTGCATCAGTCATGAGCTGATAAGTTGGTACGACTCTCACTGCAAATACCACAAACACAAACCCAGCTGGAAAAAAAAACTACAATTACTGGTCTGCTACGCATTTCAACCTTTCACATTCATGGCAAATCGCAATTATCATCGCATTTTCACTGTCTCTGATGATGTCATTAAAGGGCACAAAGACAATATTTTCCCAATAGTTAAAAAGTGCTCTTTTTTTAAACATAAAAAAACATCTCTATATGGTCTTGTTTGAAAAGTTGTTCAAGGCATTTAAGAGTCGCACCATTAAACTATTCCAGGTTGTTTGCTGATTGGCATCACAGATTCTCAAGTGATCTTATTCAGACTTGAACCCTGTCGTAAAACTGAGCTTGGAAGATATAGACTGTGAGACTATGATGAATCACAACCCTTAACAGGTCACACCAAAAAAAAGAGGTTAAAACATGTGGTTGTTTGAAGTCGAGCTGAATTAATTAGTCAATCGCCAGAAACTGTTTCAGCAACGATTGGATAATCAATTATGTGTGTGTAAGTGACGAAGAAAATATACAAAGAGATGATTAGGAAGAAATCATTTAAGAAAGAAAAGCATGATAATCCTAAACACACACATTTTATAAACCAGACCCCTCACCTCGTTGAACCGCGCCACCAGGTCCTCCACGGCGTTGCTTCGCTGAGCACTCTGGGTGGGTATGGCGGGCACAGACAGCGAGGCCTTGAGGCTTGGGTGGCGTTTGGTTTGACATTCAGGACTGCCCACGTCTCGAGTGAGGAAACAGAGGTAGTCCAAGGGAAAGACCTGCAGGAAGGAACAGACGAGTGAAGTATTATTACTGCCACCTTAGAAATAGATCCAAGACATTTCACAATACAATAAAACGAATATAAAATATTGTTTCTATTTTTTTTTTTTCCCCAGATATGCGTCCGTGTGCGTGTCCTCCCACCCGTTGGTAAAGCTGCTGCTCTTGCTCGGTGAGGATGCAGGCGATCTCCTCGGGGAACTGAACGAGGTGACGCACCTCTGCCAGCTCCTTACTGATCCCACTGACGCTAGGTTGAAGAGAGCCGCTGCTGGTCATACTGTTGGCCAGCTGACGCTCTGGATGGACAGATAAAGAGGAGCGGGACAGAAGAAGAGACAGAGTACGACTTTTTGCATTACCAAACTAGCTGGTATTTTAGGTGCTCGGTGAGAGATAAAAGCTCTTGGAATCCAAAAGACAAAGAGAGATGAAGGGAAGGAGGAGAGAGAAAGGTTAATGGACGGAAAGAGAGGAGAATGAATTGCATTCACTAGTGTCGAGGACAGATGGAAAGCAAAGACCGCCGTTTCTCAAACAAGAAATGGAAAAAGAACAGAAAGAGATTAAAAGCGAGGCATTATCTACTTTGATGTTTCCCGTTCACCATGAAAGTTTTAAGCCTTAATGAAATGTTTATCTCTTTTTCAGGATTAACCTGAATGTCTCAAGTCTTCTGATCCATAAATCTCTGCATACCACATACTCAGTACCTCTCTCCCCCCACCCAAGAGAAGTCTGCACACTTCCTCCCTCCAGAAGTAAACAGCATTGATCACCTGCCAGTTCCTGTGTTTGGATTTCAGCGAGGTCCATTAGTCTGTCTGTTTACACACACACGTATGCAAACCTGTTCTCATCTCTGCTAACAAAGGACTAATGGACAGTTGCTACACCGGTGCTGGAGCTGCCAGGTAGACATACTGTACATTGTTGGGATGAATGCCACATAAACTAACAGGCCTTTTCCACAGCAGGAGCTTTTCCAGGACCCGTATGAGGGACTCCCTGCATTCTGATCGCAGAAATGTGCAGAACACTTTTTAGTTACCAGGAGATTGCTGCTTCCACTCTTTTAAGGGTGAGGTTTCCAGTACTTAATGTTGCTGACTGGTCCAACAGAAGCATGCGGTTCACAATTTCTATAGTACAATATCACGAAGGCAAGAAAGGAGATGTACATCAAACGGATTGAAGTAATTAGATTGTCTGTTCATCGTCATACCTACCCACTCCTCTTCCGCAGCCACACACATAAAAAAAATAGTGTATGCTGCAAACGCATATGCGAACACACACACTTAAAGGGTGTCCTTGGTAACTCTTGAGATGTGCAACAGGTAGCGATGGCAACAGCAGTGGCTGCTCTGCAGGGGCAAAACTTGCCTATTTACACAGTTTGATTTGTGGATCCGGACTCACAGCTCCTGTAATGAACTCTCAGCGTGTGTGCGTGTGTGTGTGTGTGTGTGTGTGTGTGTGGGATAAGAACAGCGACAGACTGAGAGTGAGTGACAGTTAAGAACAAAGAGACGAGAGAACGGAAAGATTAAAATAAATATAATAAACTTGGAGAACTGGAGGTCGTCTGAAGAGAGAGAGAAGATCAGTGTAAACAAAGAGAGTAAATGAGAGCAGAAGAGAGACGGGAGAAGAGGAGAGAGATAACACAGAGAGGAAGGAAGGGATCAGTTGAATAAGTGGGGATTTTTGTAGTTTACTCTATGCAGCAGGTGTGATCTATCTAATACAGTTAAGAGACAGCGTAATCCACCAAAATCCTTTAACTGTCCTACACAGAGGCAGACTTCAGGTTATCGTCCAGACCTGGAACACATATTTCATAGACATATATGCAGTAAATTAAAACGGCGAAAAAAAAAACTATTTTACAACTGAAAAAAAGGAAAAGGTGTTTCAGAGAGCCTGATGTCCTGAGACCACAGAAGACATGGCCTGTAAATAAAGTGGCACACTGGAGGAAATGATCACTGTTACCCTTTCACACAAGTGCTATGGTAGAAATGATGGAGAAACAGGTGCAACAATCAACTATCATGGAGTCAAAATGTGAACAGAGATCTGGTGTTGAAATATTATGTTTGCATTTTAGCACAGTTTGAAACTATGAAATCTTCCATGTTTCAAGGATATGAGCAATATCTCCTCATCTCTGGCTCAGGTTGTTTTCACATGAAACACCCTCAAATAGGTGATATGAACTTCATGACCATGCAGAGGCCTAAATCATACATTTATCACTCATCCTTTAAACTGGGAAACTGTCAGACGAGGCAGCGAATAAAAGGTCTTAAGAGATTCTGAAGAATAAATTATAAGCAAATGTGTGTCGATAGGAAAAACAGAAAGATTCCAACATGTTGACGGTAAAAAAAAAGAAAAGTGCCAAAGCCATGGCTCCCAAAATAGAATCAGTAGATAAACAAATGTATTACAATTCTTTATCATGTGTTATTCAACTTGTGCCTGCAAAGCTTCACACTCAGTGTACAATATCAGTAGTGACAACAGAGAGCTGAGATGAATAAACATTGAAGACTGAATGGAGCGAAATCTTGAATTCCAGAGATGGTGATCAGTTATTAACGTAATCAGTTGTAGACCCATGAGAAAAAGGCCTCCGACACGTTACGCATCATCGACACTAGTTTGAGAAACACTGATGTGCAATATTGAACATGCAGCAGTGCTGCTGTGAGACTGAGAGAACACAAGACCCATGACTAATTGACCGTGATCTCCCTGTGATGTTTATGCATGGGTTTACTCATCTGTAATGCATGCTGAATACAAATGCATTGTGTGTGTGCCTGCAAGTGTGCAAGTGTGTGTGTGTGTGTGTGTGTGTGGTAGATATATCAAAAACAGCATTGAATCACTTATTGTTAATTTTTCAGTCTCAACTAGGGCTGATGTTTAGAGGGTTAGAGTGCTGCATGTGTGCTGTTCTAAGAAACATTAAATATTATATGCACATGAAGAGTTACCACTTAAAGCTGATATTTGCATCGGAACCAATTCATAAAATCACACTTAAGCGGAGATAATTGCAACAATATGTGTGTTGTTTAATTAGATGAACTATGTCTATTGAAGCCTCAGTCTCAGTGATATCAAGTAACTGTGTGTGTACGTATGACCATAAGTCAACCTATGACTGACTCAAGGCCAATATGACTGGAGAATCAATATGAAAGAAAATATAATCTTTCAGCACTGATTTGAGGTTTCTTTTTTTCCCCATTCAGTAAATCAAGTTATTATGCCGACCAAAAGAGAAGAACCTTGGACATAGACCCCGTCATCTTTCGTTGCCGGCCAGGTTCACACACACACACACACACACACACACACACACACACACACACACACACACTGTTCTGACAATCACGTTTAGAGCTGATGACAACTTCCCCACTGGGACTCAAACAGGTGCAGTACAAACAGCCTGAGTCAAAGGACTGTGAACAAATTAGCCTTTAAACCTAAAAATATCGCCATACATTCTTAAAATAATTTCTATTCAAAACATCAACAATCTTACTTTACCAGTTTGGGGTGGAATATTGAACTGTCCTGCACTACAACATTAACATCTGAAACCTGATCTACTGTAGCGTTGCATCACCACACGAGCAGCTCTGGAACACAGTATATTCTGATTGGTTTCTAAGTCTGTCAAATATTATTCATGAAATACACATAAAAAATGGTCCTTTAAAATCTCTATATGTTGAAATATAATATATTATATAACTGAAATCTCCAGGCAAACTGCAGCATCAGGCAGTTTCCCTTTAGACCACAGCAAAACAATACGTCCTAGCTGTGATTCATCGGCATGAATAGCATGCAGTTAATCGTAGAATAACATGTTCATATAACTAGCTCGTCCATACTGGCACACGCATGCACTTGAACAAAGTCGTACACAAACACTTGTGTCAATAAAAATCAACAAGTAGCAGCAAACAAACGAACACACACAGCAGCAAACACAAACATACAGACGTATGCCAAATACACAGACTCACAGCAGCAGCAATAAACGTTGATCTGTCTGTTACGACAAGGAGTTTCCCTCATCGATCCGATCTGTACACTGTACGCACACGAGATTCACATGCAGACGTTAATAAAACATTTGGGCTCTTCTGACCTTTCTTCATTAGTGGGCAGGACAACGACAAAAAAGATGGAGTAGATAAGAAGTTCAGACTGATCAAGCAAAAGGCTCCTTGTTATGACTCCAAAGGTCAAATTAAAGCATCGTAAAAGTCACATAATTGAGTCAAGTGAAGGTAAATTTTCAGATTTTGAGATTTTTAAAGAAGCATGTGGTCCAAAATGTTATCTTCTCTATTCCCCTCATATTAGAAGCATCAGGTCAAACTATATTGTGGATGAGGCCCATTCTCTTTGTACAGGAAAAACACGCAAAAACAAATTTAGACGAACGTGACTTGACACAAATCAGATGCAACACATGGGCCATTTTGGTCTTTTTTGTTTCCTTTAACTGTAAGGTGTATTACTGTATCCTCAGAGACCAAATACATCTATAGCTACGACACTCGTTCTTCGGGTCAATTCAGTGTGAAGTTGCCCAGAGACCCTGACATTCTTGTCATTCTGTCAGGTTTTTGGTATGAAGGGGGCACAGTGCACAACGCTTCCTCTCACGCCATTTCCCAACTGCTGCATCGTCCATCACATTTCTATATAAAATGTCAAAGTTTTACATTGGATTGCAACGTTACTGCCACCTGTAGTTTACTCGAGATACAAGCGATCCCTTTGAATCTACGAGTAAATAAAATCTTGTAATGCAGTATGCAAAATATAAAGGATGCCGCACAAAATCACAAATGAGCAGGCTGGTCTAGTTGACTCTTACTTGAAATAAACAGAGTCATAATCAATGTCAGTAGGCAAAGCAATGCAAGATTAAATCCTTTGCCACTAAAAACTAAATAGATTAGAGGCAACAGCAGGTGAGTTCAATCTGCTCATTAAAAAGCCTGAGTGGAAACGCTTAACATTCTAAAAAGAAAATCGGGAAATATCGCAAAGGAAGTTTTTATGCTTTGCAAAGGTGGAAAGGTTTGCTCATTGATAAAGGCAAAATTTGATAAAGAAACAAGCGCACACTTAATAATATACAATAATAATAATCCATTTTATATGTATAGCGCTTTAAAAAGGTACTCAAAGGCACTTTACGTGGTAAAAACAGAAACAGCAAAAGCAATTACAGTGTGAACAAAAGAGATGACAT